CAATACAATAGAATATATACACGTAAAGATATATTATGGGGGATTACATAAAGAGCTGACAGTTCTCAATAATAATAGTTAAAAAATAGATAATGTAAAGGGAATTTGCTGAAAATTTATTTCAGTCAATTTGATCCACTCTGAATCGAGAATTTAGCGATTGAATTTTAGGCCTAGCCTCGATCTTCATTACTAATGTCTGTACGATAAAAACATAGTCTCGATTATCCATTTTTTGATTTAATCATCAATGAGCATTGAGGAGCAGATCGAATGTTAATCCAGTAAATATCGTAGGCTAGCGATATTGAGAGTTGATTATGGTCTGGATAAGTTAATTAATGTCTAATTAATAATTTAGATAACATGTCAGGTCTAGAGAAAGACCTGCAATAGGCAGATTTCGCTCTTGCATAATGTATGTTTAAAGCGTTCAGTGTAAAATCCGTTATGTGCCATTGGTTGTCAATTCGTCGCGTCTAGCCAGTTTATAATGACAGGCCTGGATTATCGAGACATTCAGAAGACCGAGGGCGTGGCATATCCCAGAATCTCCGTGAACTTTTGTCATTGTTTATTTGTGTGGCTTATCTGGACCAGCATATAACAATAAATGAAATCAGCAACAACCTATATATACTGCAGTAATAAATGAAACTTTAAAACACGTGACAATAACTGCGCAGGTAACAGGCATTACGCGCATGACAGATACATCGCCCGTAGGAACGGGCTTTTATACGAATCGAAATGAAAACCGACTAATACCATTTTTTTTAACGGAAATGAATGAGGTGTGGTCTAAACGTTCTACTTTTCTGCACCAATGGGCTTAATGCAGACCGGGTGATCTGAGGTATTGACAGCTACTAACACGACCTTCTCGATGGTAAACTACACCGTAAAGCACAACTCTAATTTTGAACAACAAGCAGTGTTTCCACAGACTTCATTATGTATTCGAACTTCAACCCCGACATGGCAATAGTATCCTACGCACTGCCCTCTATGGGAATCGGCCCCAAAGGGCTACAAGGGCCGTCAGGGCGTTTTTGGACAATCTCGTCTAAGTGAGCGGCCAGTAAAGATTTTACACATTCGGTCACTTTTTGCATTACTTTGGACGCTACTGATAAAATAAAACGCTATTTTTGGTCCTTGTCTTTGAAAGGAGTACCTCGAAGTAGTTTTGTATTGGCCTATTTTAAAATGTTTGTCTGTTTGGAAATTATCGTAAAATTGCTTAACTCAGTAGTGTGGCGACCACTGGTTTTGTATGAGGAACAAGACGAGGCCTCGGACTTAGTAACGTTTTGTTTTTTATACTTTAAAATTTAGTTTTACTTGTCTTTACTACACTAGTATCTGGAAGAGTTGTTATATAACCTGCGTAACCTGCGTTCGGCTGAAGTGAGAGCTTAGCCAATGAAATGATCTGTTACGGGGACGTCTTGACGTGCGGAACTGTGGGTAAACTAATAGAAACATCAACGCTGATTGATTAGCGTTGACGTCATAGAGTCAAAAGCCGCTCGTACGACTCCTGACGCGACCTTCCACTACAACAGGTCAGATCTTCGTGTAGTGTAGGCCATCGAAAGTATAAAAAAAAACGAAACGAAATATAGATCTGTATTTTCAGTTTGTTGAATTCCTGTGACGGATTCTTTAATGGGCAGATTGAACACAGAAAATTCACAAAAATAGATCTGGAACCGCTTCTTTTAGTTGACTATTTTATTTTCATATAATGTTAATGATTCTAAAATAGATTTGCGGCTTTTTTTTCACTTGATTATTTTCTTTTCAAGTATTAATGATTTTAAAATAGATTGTTTTCTTTTCAAGTATTAATGATTTTAATATAGATGTGCAGATTTTTTTAAAATAAAATATCGAGACTCTCTATTTCGTTCTAATGGACAAATATAGTGGCTTTAATTAAAGAATAAAGCCTTTGTTTATTACATCACCATAATGGCACATCTGTTGTTCCCGTGTGTACTTTATTTCTTAATTCCAATCTCATTCTCAAAACGAGCCATGTGCATAAACGGATTTCGAGAAATTACTTTAAGAAAATGCAATTTTGGACAAAATATGAACCCGGATGACAAGCTATCATCTATCGTAATACAATCAGAGAAACCCAGCAGGATAAAAACTCCAAATCCATTTCCTCTCTTCTGAATAAACGAACAATACGCAACAATGGCCTTATTTTTTATGGCCCAGTCAGGCATTATAAAATGGCGAATTATGAGCCGTGTTTCGACAGGAGGTCACAAAATTCAATAATTTCTGCGATTTTATCGCGATGTAAATCTTTTGAGCTGTAAATGTCGACTGAGAGCGATAAAAGAAGGGTAAAATAGGAGAGTTGCTCCGAATATTAGTAGATATTACTTGAGCTAGACACCTCGTAACTATACACTCACGCGTTGTATCTATGTATTCACGTTATCCACTTCTGTTATGAGAAGAATAGAAAAGGGGAAGTAACTATCATTAATCACGCGATCTGAAAACGTTAAACAATTTGCAAAGACACTGAGCGTGCATTTCACACTATTTTTTATCTTTCTTTCTTTTTTTGGCACCGTGTTCCTTTTTTTATAGTTTTTCACATCGATTTTTCAATAATATATTCTATTCTACGTACTTTCGTTTGTCCTATTCCCATTGTCTAATAAACCAAAACTGAAAGCTGACTAATGGCTTTCACGGAAATAAGGCCGCCATTTATTCAGAGGATAATCTGCCATTTTTTGATTGCCTATTTCTGTATTCGTTGTTTTTTTTGTTTTTTTTTTGTTTCCAGAATAATTAAAGCCGACGGCTATATTCTTCCATTTACAGAGTTCTGTCTTTTAAAGAAAAGAACAATGATACAAAGCAATATAGCGATTACTTCCTTTTTATGGTATAATTGTGAAATACCATCGCCCACGAAAGGCTAACATATAAATCGTATAATAGACGATAACAATATAAACTGTCAATGTGTCAATTCTCTTTATTTCCCGCTAATTTACTTACGCCTTCATTTTTTCTTTTATAATTTCTTTTTGTAAATAAGATACTATTTTTGTATATAAAAAAATGATTTGTTAGACATTTTCCGTTTTTGAATACTCAGAATATTTTTGTAGCGTTTAAGATTTGATTGTATTGAGATTTGTGTCTCGCAGAAAGCGTCTGTAATATATAACAAACAATTTGTACAAATGCATTAACCAGGAGAGCGAAAGAGAGAGAGAGAGGGGGGAGGGGCGGGGGGTAATGTCCATTCGACACAAACTACGTCATTTCGGGAGTTTGAACAGGCGACTCTACACCTTGTCACATACAACCGGGGAATCGAAACCGTGCCAGTTGATTCAATGACAGACATCGCAACGCGCACGCGCACCCGCACGCGCTAACCATTCGGCCACCCCTCCCCCACCATTACCCAGGAAGTCCCGGGTTCGATACCGATGTTAGCCAAGAAAGTTGGCGAATGCTAATTTTAGTCCACAATGGCCGCTTTATATAAATGAGTCAAAATTAAGTTGGGTCCAAGTTCTGTCTTCTAAAAAGGGTTAGGGCTAGATTTAGTATTCCCCCAAAATACTCATTGATATCAAGTGGCGATTGCGCACCTTTTTTCTATTTTTTTAAAAATTATTTAATTTTGAACATTTAATTCTTGTTTAATAATTATTTATGACTGAAGATCTGAATTCCGCTAAAAAGCATGGACGTGTGCCTAAAGCGTAGCTGGGTCTTTTCTCTGTATGATAAAAAACTTGAAGTTTAATATGCAACGGGGGTCGCGTGAGCTCAGTAAGTAAGGCCTGGAAGTCCCGAGTTCGATCTCGGTGTTCGCCGACGCTGTGAATCTTCCTAGGCGTTTTCCGGCCCTGTCAGTGGTGCAGGACGAAGGGTCTTGTGAGGCACAGTGTATAACTGTTGGGTTGAAAAACTGAGGGTCCATATCCATGTTGGTGTGCTTGTTAAAGAACACTTGACAGTTGGAATTCGAAGTAGGATTAGGCCGTAGCGCCGCTGTTCGGGTAAATTATTCCAGTAATTTTGCTTGTGCGTAGGGACCGGGTCACCAACTGCGGAGGGCCCGAAGAAAGCGTACAGGTAGGTATGCCACTCACCGCCCGCCCCTGGCACAAAAACGTACGAATCAATGTACAGACCACGATGAATATTGCCCTGCTCAATCAAACGATTTAGCAGTGGGAGGAAAACGGAGGACCCGGAGAAAACCCGCGAGGTTGGTCAGGCGACGCTACCCCTTGTCACGCGTACAACCGGGGAATCGAAACCACGCCAGTTGACTCAATGGCAGACCTTATGACGCAACGCGCACGCACTAAGCATTCGCCCCCCCCCCACACACACACACCCAAATCCGTATGGTAAATACATCGTCAATGTTAGTCTCATATAGATCCCTCGGCAGTTACAAGAGTAGTGTGGTAAATACTACACCAATGTTTGTCTCGTAAAGAGGGGATCACGTGGCTAAGTGGGTAAGACGCTAGCTCGCTTGCCTGGAGGTCGGGTGTTCGATCCCTGCATTGGCCGAGAAATTTCATCCAGATTTTCCGGCGTGGTTCTCCCTTGTCAGTGATGCAGGACGGAGGGGCTGACAAGGAAAGCTGTCTAGTCGGTCGGATGGGACGAAAAACCGAGGTCCCGTGTACACATTGGTGTGCACGTAAAAGATCCCTTGGCAGTTGGAAGTCGATATAAGAGTAGCCCGTAGTGCCGCTGTCCGGGCAAAATTTCCCTCATAGCACACTGTATGGCGTATGCCCGTCTTCATTAGCCCAGGTTAGGAGCAGAACAGTAGGACGTTAAACTCCATTTCATTTCATTTCATTTCGTCTCGTAAAGATCCCTTGGCAGTTGTAGGAGCAGTATGATGAAACGAAAGCTACATCATTGTTTGTCTCATTAACGCTAAACATACAAATTTCTAATATTGAAATAAACTCGAATATTTTCAAAAAAACTGACTTTATTTCTCTCATTTGACATTTTACAAAATCATTAGATGATGGGAAGTTGGTGATTGAATGAAATCATTTTTTTTTTACAAAATAAGGATACAAGATAAAATATAATATAATATGGGGATATAAGAAGGAGGGGGGGGGGTAATGATCTGGAAGTTGATGAAAGGGGGTTATATATATTCACGCCCCCACAATCTATATTACTACTAAGATGATATACAGATTATAACCTCTCGACCCTTTGGTCCAAGTATGCTGTATACAAGGGGAACAATTAGCGTAAGTTCTTCTCTAAGGTCCGTTTTCCATGTACGCATTTTCTTTTCGCGACGTTTTCGCCGGCGCGAACAAGTCGGTCTTAATGCTAGGTTCCCATTACTATTACGATTTGCTCTACGATTGAAATCGTAGTTTTAATCGTGGAGTAATCGTGGGGATCCTATCAGGTCTATTTGGGTCAAGCGTAGCAGTCGTGTTGACCATATCGAAACGTAACCCAACGTTTCTGCACGTACCAGATCGTGGACTCAATAGGGACAATCCTATGGCAACGCAGCGCACGACAGTGGGGACCTAGCTTAAAGGAGCTAAGTCGCTAATATTTGGGACCTAGGAATTGACACAAATGGGTCGCAACGCATACAATAATGTAATATGAATGTATATAAATTGATTTACATTCAATCGTTTCTGTTTTTACTGTTTTACCTAATCAGTTAGGTTCGTTGAAATACGCCAGTATTCTCAATCGAATTTCAATCTCTAGCGTCTGGTTATTCCAGTCTACGCCGATAGTATTTATTGGGCATGCTCTCCAGATAAGAATATAGCGTTACCGTTTGACATCACTAGTGGAATATGCCTAGCCATGTTTTTCGAGTCCCTTATTACAAATAGCGCTGAAACGCATTATGGTACACGATTCGTGTACCAATTGTAAAATGTTTATTTTGTCTTAAATATTGGATATCAGAAGGCCATCTTTTCCCGGTAAGATCACAACATCAATGTTGATTTGAACCGACAAATAATTCGTATTTTCAACGTGTAAGATTTTGGATGATATTGAGTTAGAAACTTAGCTACTTTAAGTAAATGTAAGGGGACCGTGGAAACGTGTGCATGAAAAACAGGCCTAAGACTGTCATTGCATTACTGTGACTACTTAACGGAAACGGGTTGTCCAAAGTCATGCAAGGGCAATTCGTATAGCCACTGAGGGTGAAAGCACGTGCACAGTTAATGTAGCACTACCCGCGAATTTATGATTATGACTACAAGCGCATGCGTAACACACATACTAACTTCTTTTACGCTGAAGTGAACACCGAGAATGAATTCCCAGACTTGATGCCAAAGACTAAAAATGCGGTGTTTGAAACCAATGCTCAATACATTCTCAAATTGGTTTAATTATGACACCACATGATATCCTTGGCCTTGTTTTTGTGAATGACTAATTCCGTTGTTCATGGAATTTTAAAAAAAATGAGATACTAAGCGATGCATTTCCGGCAAAAATTTGGGATTAATCAAGCATGGTTGTAGGTTACATCTATTTCATAAGGTCCATTCAAGTTTGGTCAAAGGTCACGAGATGTAAACAGGGCTAGCGCTAATATTAACCCTAACCCTGGACCTAGGCCCAATGATTACCCTAACCTACAATCTCGCCAACAATCACGTGCCCTAACCTTAATTACATCTCAGCGACCTTGACGAAAATTGAACTGGTCTTAACAAATAGATTTCGCTCAGGGTTGTAGATAATATCATTATACATGATTAAAATATTTAAACATGTCATGCTGATGAATAATGTACAAGATTTGTCGCCCTTGACCTATATATTGGTCATTTTGTTAAACAACCCCATCATAAACTATGAAATATAACATGTCATTAGTTAGTCTTTGTTGAATAATATTAAAGATGGATTATGGAAGATTTAAATCTGCCTATTTCTAAATTTTTAATTAGATAGTTATTTGGCCATAGTTGCAAAGACCATAATCAACTCTCGATGCCATCGGATGCTCGAGATTTCAACGGATTTGAACAGGATTGACGGTTAATGATTGAATTCAAAATATGGATAATCGAGACTCTGTTTACTATCGTCACAACGGTGGTAATGGCAATCGAGGCTCCGCTATTCCTAAACAGCACTAACGTCGCTCAGAATGAAGTAATTTGACTGAAACTTTCAAGATATTCCCTTTCAATTATAACGAGTAATGCCAGCTCTTTATCTAATTATGGGAGATTAGATAAAGAGCTGGTAGTTCTCACTATGATAGATAAATACTAAATAAGGTAAAGGGAATTTGCTGAAAATTACAGTCAAATTGATCCACCCTGAACAGAATATTTAGCGATTGAATTTTGAGCTAGCCTCGATCATCATTACTAAAGTCGGTACGATAAAAAACATAGTCTCGATTATCAACTTTTGATTTAATCAGAAGCAGCAGATCGGGTTCTAGTCCAGTAAATATCGCAGGCTAGCATTGCCGTCGAGAGTTGATTATGGTCTGGATAAGTTAATTAATGTCTAATTAATAATTTAGATACCATTTCAGGCCTAAAGAAAGAACTGCATAAGGCAGATTTAGCTCTTGCATAATGTATGTTTAATTTAGAAATTCTGACAGATTAACCTCCCTTTCTTACAATATTCTTGAATTATTTAATATATTTCGTGTTTGCATAACAATGGTTGAACTTGGCATACACCACGTGAGCGTAAAATACATTAGCAGAAAAAACAATCTGATTAAAACACAAATCCTATTTTTTTTTTTTTTTTATAGTTCAAAATTTCGTTTTACTTGTCTTTACTACACTAGGATCTGGAAGAGTTGTTATATTAACCGGCGTTCTGGTTGAAGTGAGGGATTAGCCAATGAAATGGTCTGTTACGGCGAGTTCTTGGCGTTTGTTGCACGGGACTGTGGGTAAACCACTAGAAACGTCAACGCTGATTGATTAATCAATGTCTGACGTCATAAGGTCAAAAGCCGTTTTACAACCCTGACGCGACCTTCCAGTAAAACCCGCCAGATCTTTATGTAGTGTAGGCCATCTAAAGTATAATAAAAACGAAACGAAATATAGATCTGTATTTTAATCAGATTGCAGAAAAATGAAATTAAATATAACTACAATATAACAGCAATATAGGACACGTGACCTTTTATAAAAAGGTTGCAAAAGCAAACATGATTGGAATTCGTTGATTTGAGAAAACTAAGATTAATCATATTCATCCCGGCCTACCATTTGGTCGCGACTACCATTAACTACCCTTGGTTAAACATGGATCTGTTACCATGGCATTACTGCACAATGGAGATGATCCGTACTAAACCAAAATGGTGCATAATTTACACAAAATAAAAACATAATGCTGAGAGCTGGGCCCTGTTTCACGAAATTTTAACTAAAGATAAAAACCAAATTTTAGTAGATACGTCAATTTTGATTGGCTAAGCACTAAAATCAATCTAATATTATCCAATCAAATTACTAAAATTTTGATTTTATCTCAGTTAAAATTTCGTGAAACAGGCACTTGATTTCACCCCTATCAGTGATTGTAGCGAACAAGTGAATATTTACTGCTGGTCAGTTTGGGATTAAACGCCAGAGAAATATGATGTAGTACATCCGGTTCCAAATCAAAAGCCGCGTGTATCCAGTATTCTTACCAAGGGTTGCTAATGGTGACGGATAATCTCAAAATAATAATATACCAAGATTGCAATTAAAACTTGGATATACTACATGTCCAAATATACTGCAATAACGATTAAACATACATTATTCAAGAGCTAAATCTGCTTACTGAAATGTTATATACATTATTGATTAAATATGAATTAACTTATCCAGACCATAATCGACTCTCGATGTCATTTTATGCATTTGATTTTAACTGGATTTGAATCCGATCTGGTGCTCAACGCTCGTTGATGATTAGATCCGAAAGTGAATAATCGAGACTATACTCTTGTTTATCATACCGACTTTAGTAATGATGATCAAGGCTAGCCTAAAATTCAGAGTGGAGCAATTTGATTGAAATGTTCAACATATTCTATTTACGTTATATATTTTTAACTATTATAGTGCGAACAGTCAACTATTTATCTAATCTCTCATAATGCCTCTTTAAAGTTGAATATTAAAGGCCTAGACCCAGGCTCAAATATTTGCAAACACAAGAGAATACAACCGGTTATTTACAATCATATACTAGTCAAAATGGCTCATACTGCCAGACAGAGAGACACATCAATTCAAATATCAAATAAATCCGGATTTTATTTTGGGTTTCTATAATTAGAATATTACCCATTTAATCATTTTGGGTTTCTATAATTAGAACTTTACCAATTTAATCATTTTTGGTTTCTATAATTAGAATATTACCAATTTAATCATTTTTGGTAGAATATTACCAATTTAATCATTTTGGGTTTCTATAATTAGAATATTACCAATTTGATTATTTTCGGTTTCTATAATTAGAATTTTACCAATTTGATTATTTTCGGTTTCTATAATTAGATTTTACCAATTTGATTATTTGGGGTTTCTATAATTAGAATATTACCAATTTAATCATTTTTGGTTTCTATAATTAGAATTTTACCAATTTAATCATTTTTGGTTTCTATAATTAGAATATTACCAATTTAATCATTTTTGGTTTCTATAATTACAATATTACCCATTTAATCATTTTGGGTTTCTATAATTAGAATATTACCCATTTGATCATTTATATTTTAAATATTTCATTTCGAATTGGGCCTTTAATAAAACAAACAAATAAAATACAATAACTTAAACTTCAAATAAGAATAACTATACAGGAAGAACATTTAGGAAGGGGGTGGGGGTGGGAGGAGGGGTGGGGCGATATAAAAACCATGATAATATTTTATAATAGCGACAAAAACTATATGTATGGATAAAATTTGTATACGATGAGGATATGAATTGATATTTGACTATCTACAATTTACAATAAACACAATGATAATAGGAAGACTGAATAAAACATTATATAATATTCCTTCATTCATCATAAAATCAAATCCATGCAGAGCCGGATTAAGGTTTTGGGGGCTGCAGTACAAGGATCTCCTTCAGCTGGAAGATCTCCGGAGATTAAGTGAAGAGTTATCTGATTTGTGCATTCTGAATCAAAGTAGAACGTGCAATTATCTGTTGAGTTTTTAATTAATTTCCCTTTTTTGTATATTTGTAGTAAAATTACTATGGCGGTAGAGAGACAGAGAGAGAAATTGGGTTTTACGTCCACTTGACACAAAATAGGTCATTTCGGAACTAACACGTGGTTCAATGTTTTCATTTTAATAATTCGCTTGCGCGTGGGGGGAAACCGGAGGACCCGAAGAAAACTCACGAGGTTGGACAAGCCACCCTACACGTGTCACGTACAACCGGGGAATCGAAACCCCGCCAGTTGTTCAATGAAAGACGTGCTAACCAGTCGGCCATCTAACCCAGCTACTATGGCGATATGAAACGCTGAACAGTCTTACTTGGGACTTTAAAGTAGCCTACCTAATCTTAGTCCGGTTTTTCTTGGGACCTTATAGCGGCCCACCAAATCTTAATCCGGCTCTGAATTCATGCAATGGTAATATATACAAAAATACCTTGTCTTTTGTTATTTAATGGAAATTAAACATTATGTCACAAAATACCTCTTTGATGTGAGCAAATGTCGTCATAGATTCTGGCAAAAAACGTCATCAGTTATTGTCGACGATAAAGTTTGACGTCACAACACACGTCAATCAATGTCAATAGGCTGAATATAAACTTCTTTTTTTTTTGTCTTTTTTTTTTATATGGTTTATATTTTATTTAATGCACATTCACCCACACAAGACTCGTTCAACTAGTCCTACAGCAATTATAACTACTATGGTACAGTAGCCAACAGCGATGTTTACAATTTAAGGCACGTTTTAGTTATGAAATCGGCACATGCTCTCCCACTGCGCATGCCCATAAAGAAAAGTAAAACAATATTCACGAATAGACAACAAAACTATCCCCGGTGGTGTTTCGTTTTTTTTTGTTATGGATTTAAAATTAGTTGGAAGGAGCATGCGCAGTAGTGAAGCTGGATTGAGCATGGTCATGGCACAAACATGGCGTAAATATATCCCAGAATTCCTCCTGGTATATGAAAGTCTATGGGTCTAAACTCGAGCCTCGCGTCATGCGTACACCTCCTTTCCGCCTACTGAATTGTGGCCGTATCCGGTTAATGGCATGAACTGTAATCCATTATCAGTGACATCTTTCGTTCGATTCTTACTAGGTTTCTTCGACGATACACATCGGACGGCAAAACGGAACTCTTCCGCCATTTCAGAACACAGTGTTTGCTGAAAATACATTTATGCTAACTATTATTGACATATTAAAAAAAGAACAAGTTTGAAAATCGATTAGTTTTGACAGCCTTAAGCGTTTTCAATTGTTGTATCATGGAATAAGTAATGCGATCAGATATCCACAAGGGCTTAGTCTGCCAACGAAAGGAAGCCTGTTAAGTCGATATAAATATTGGATTGAAATTAGCCTATACTGGGCTAATGAAGACGGAGAGAGAGAGAGAGAGAGAGAGAGAGAGAGAGAGATGGGGTTTAACGTCCACTCGACACAACTAGGTCATTTCGGGACTAACATATGGTTTTAATTTTATTTCAATAATTTGCTTGTGTGTAGGGGTCTTTAGCAGTGGGAGGAAACCGGAGGACCCGGAGAAAACCCACGATGCTGGACAGGCGACCCTACTCCTTGTCACGTACAACTGGGTATTCAAAACCACTCCAGTTGACTCAATGACAGGTCTTATGATAGAGCGCACACGTGCTAACCATTCGGCCATCCAACCCCCACCTACTCTGTTCTGCTCCCGCGACCTCCAGGCTAGCAAGCCATCGTCTTTCTCACTTAGCCACCGTGTGGCTTCTTGAGACTAACATATGATAATTTTTATTTCTACAATTACGTGTGTAATGAGAGGGGGTACTCCTACAACGGCCTCTCCGCCTACTCCTCTTCAATTTTCAACTGCCAAGGTTCGTTTTCTTGCAAACCCATGTGCACACTGTTTTTCGCCCCTTCCGCGCACATTTAAATATCACCCTAACGAAAATTATGCAACCGCACTTTTAATACACAATAGTTTATTACCTGATCTTCTCGGGCATTTTTCCTGGCTTTCCAAATAAATTCACAAAGTGAGACGACAAATCCTGCTCCAACTCCTCCCATCAGAACCACAAACACGCCACCTACATTATCTACCCCTAGTTCCGCCGCTTTACTCTTACTGGCGCTGTCCGCTTGTTCACATTTCAGGGCTTTACCGTACTGTTCCCACCAGATGGAGTGCAACCGGTGTATCTCTTGTTCCTCCTGGAGTTTGAGGATGGTTTCTGTTATCAGTTCCCGATACGGTGAATCTACAAGAAATAAATTACAATATAAGTGTGGTATTAATTTTACTTAAACATGCATGATGCAAGAGCTAAATCTGCCTATTGCGGGTCTTTCTTTAGGCCTGAAATGTCTTCTAAATTATTAATTAGACATTAATTAACTTATCTAGGCCATAATCAACTCTCGATGGCATCGGATTTCTCTGATATTAAATAGATTAGAACAGTTTAACCATATTTTGATTTAAGCTAAAAATGGAGGAGCGAGACTTAGCTTCGAACGACCAGTGCGGTGATTGAAATTATTGCACACGTCTTGTCAAACTTTCAAAGGCTAATATCTGCGCCCGCAGTAGAGTAATTTGAATGAAATTTTCAAATTATTCATTTTACATTATCTATTTTCGAACTATTATAGCAAGAATGGCTAGCTCTTTATCTAAATCTTACATAATGTATCTTTAAGTTTTTATAAGGGTTTTTTTTTTTGCGTGTTGTTGAAACAAACAGAATTTAATTTCTTAAAGACACGCATTACAGAAGTCCGATACATTTTTGTGGGATTTTGCCCCCTTCAATGATAAATTTGGAATTTGATCATTCAATGATAAATTTGGGATTTTGCCCCCTTCAATGATAAATTTGGGATTTGCCCCTTCAATGATAAATTTGGTTGGGATTTGCCCCTTCAATGATAAATTCGGGATAAATCCGATATTTCCCCCTTATCCTCCTTTCAATGCAGAGTCTGGAAAATCCCTTTTCAATGACACATCTGGGATATCCCATTTTTCCGATTTTCAATGTTTACATCTCTTGACCTTTGACAAAACTTGAAGTTGTCCTTGTTAAATAGACCTAACCCAGGGAGCACCCCTTTCAATGATGAATCTGGGATTTCCCCTTTAGTGACAAATAGAACTATTGATCGGGTATCCCCGGGTAGATATAGAATGATACTTACTCCTTGGTGTAGCTATTCCGTAACCTTTAGAGTCCAGCAATCCTCCCACTTGTTCTAATTCACAGTTTCTTTCTACTGTATATTCTACTGCCGTCGATTCTGCTAGATAGGCATATCCTCCCTCCTTCACTCTCCGTACACCTTCCGCGTTACTACTCACAAAATTATCACTGGACGAATTCATAAAGTTCCACATTCTCTTAAAGGTGTCGATTTTAGAATTCTGAAAAAGGGGCGAAATGAGCGGTTATTAAGAAACATTAAAGGAACTAAATCGCTAACATTTGGGACCTAGAAATTGACAAAAGTGGGTCGCAACGCATATAATACTGTAATATGAATGTATATAAACTGATTTACATTCAATTTCCGTTTTTAATCCAATTTCAAATCAGTTATGTCCGGCGAAATAAGCCAGCAGTCTCAAGCGAGTGCAAATTTCTAGCGTCTGGTTATTCCAGTCTACATACGCCGTTTGATTTGGTGCAATGTGTCTAGACTCGTCCCTCGATTTCCTTGATACAACTGGGGCTGAAGCGCATTATGGTATTTTGTCTTAAGTATTGGATATCAAAAGCCCATCTTTTTTCCGGTAAGATCACAGCATGAATGTTGATTTAATTTGACGAATAAATCGTGTTTTCAATGTTGAAGATTTTGGATGATATTGAGTTAGAGACTTAGCTCCTTTAAAGGCGTATTATGGAAGAATAGATAAAGTGCTGACATCGAGAGTTGATTATGGTCTGGATAAGTTAATTAATATCTAATTAATAATTTAGATAACATTTCAGACCTGAAGAAAGACCTACAATAGACAGATTTAGCTCTTGCATAATGTATGTTTATTAGCTGCATGGCTCAAATTATAAATACCGTTTTCTCTGAAAGTGACTCGGTACAGACATACAATACGATGCGGGTGAGGTCGTGGGTTCGATCCCGATGTTGGCCGAGAAAGTTAACCGGGATTTTTCGGCGTGGTTTCCCCTTGTCAGTGCCAAAGGATTGAGGACGGAGGGTCTGACAGGGACAGCTGTCTAGTAGTTCGGATGGGACGTGCACGTAAAAGATTCCTTGGCAGTTGGAATTCGATATAAGGGTAATCCTTTGTACTGGAGTATGCCATTCACGATGCGGTGGTTCAGTGAGTAGAAACTAACTCAGTAACCAGGACGATGCGGGATCGATCACATTTTTCCACAACCGGGATTTTTAAGGCGGTCATGTGCCATGCAGTGAAATCTTGTCTCTTCTTATAATCCAAACTGCATTCGGCAAACCTCGGTGGACCCTTCTTGTAACCTCGTCTATATGACGGTAGGTGATATGCCGCGGTTTGCCGAATGATCCAAACTGCCAAGCGCTCCCTTTACTGTACGCTAACGATTTCATGGATTTTCACCCATTCCAAAATACTAAACGCTTTTCCTAGCCAGATTTACCGTCCTACGTCACTACCATGGGGAACCTAGGCCGACACAGGGATCGAACCTGGACCTTTTGATTTGTAAATCATATCGATCAAAGTGCAGTACAAAAAAATTACTTACGGCAAAGAACGACATTGTTGATCCTCCTCTTTGGGTACCATATGATATTGTAGATTGTTTTGCCAGATCTTCAGCGCTAGTGATGGGAGAAATCATTCGTTCGACTGTTAAAAAGGCGGCCAGATTAGCTGTATAAGATGATATCATGATGAGCGTGAAGAACCACCAGATACCGGCAATAAGTCGAGTTGATATAGCTCTAGGGGCGATCTCACAACCTAAAATACACAAATAAATATAATATTTTAACATACATGGCCAATCTCACAATCTAAAAAAACATATAGTATTATATTTTTAAAAATACAATCCCAGGGGAGTAGGGTCAATTGTTATTTGGAGGCGTGGAGGATGCAACACAAAATTCCCAGTCATGGTCAACCTTCAGCTGATCGGAGTGAAGCAAATATTTGTATTAAAGATACATTATGGGAGATTAGATAAAGAGCTGACAGTTCTCACTATAATAGTTAAAAACAAGATAATGTAAAGGCAATTTGCTGAATATTTCAGTCAACTTAATCCACTATGAACCGAGAATTAAGCGATTGAAATTATTACTAAAGTCTGTACGATAAAAAACATAGTCTCGATCATCCATTTCATGATTAAATTATGAATGGAAGTCGAACAGCAAATGGGATCAAAATCCAGTAAATATCGCAGGCGAGCGATGCCATCGAGAGTTGATTATGAAATATATGGATAAGTTAACTAATGTCTAATTAATAATTTAGATAACATTTCAGGCCTAAAGAAAGACCTGCAATAGACAGATTTAGCTCTTGCATATATAATGTATGTTTAAAACTATAATGGGTCTATAATTAGGATACAATATTAATAATTATAAGTTATCTTTAAAGTGTATTTAATGAAAGCATTTTGTCACCCAATATCACAGTATCTACACTAGTTTTTATTTGTGTGATCAATTTCATAGTCTGAATTTGATTGGTCAGTTAAAAAGGAACTACTTTTTTTATTTCCAGAGAAAAATTCATTTTTTGTTAAACGTAACTTTTTTTTTTTGTATTAGAAAGGGACTATTTTTATTTAATTGGCCTTGATGGGAACACTGGACCAATATAAAGGAATTTGCAATGGTTGAGTTGCTGTCAAAAATGATATATCACTACGCCCTAATGTAATCAGGTTCAGTAAAAGTGAAATCTATAGCAAGGAATTATATTTATTTATTTGTGCATGTAAGAAAGGATTGGGTGATAAATAAAATCTCCTACTCGTCTTTTTTTATTTAAAAAAATATTAACACTAGTCGATAAAGTAAAAAAAAAAAAAAAAAAAAAAAAGCCTCGGGTTTTTTTTTCTTACTTTATCGACTTGTGTTGATATTTTTTTACAAAGAGAAATTTATAATACACGAAAACTTTATGGATATCATTTATTAGGTTTATTGACTGCAATGTTTGAAATGACATGAAATGAAGTCTGCACCGACTGGCCGGGCTAACGAAGACGGACATACGCTATGCAGCGTGCTATCAGAGAAATTTTGCCCGGACAGCGGCGGTCTACTCTTATTTCAAATTCCAACAGTCAAGGTTCTTTTACGTGCAGGCCACGCCAGAACGATGTCTAGATATGGGGGCATGGCCGAATGGTTAGCGCGTATCATAAGGTTTACCATTGAGTGAACTGGCGTGGTTTCGATTCCCCGGTTGTACGTGACGAGGAGTATGGTCGCCTGTCGAACCTCGTGGGTTTTCTCCGGGTCCTCCACTTTCCTCCCACTAAGAAGACCCCAACGCGCAAGCGAATGTTTGAAATAAAATTGAACCATATGTTAGTCCCCAAATGATCTCTCTCTCTCTCTCTCTCTCTCTCTCTCTCTCTCTCTCACTCAATATAATTATGTATCAATATAATTATGTATCAATATAATTATGTATCAATATAATTATGTATCAATATAATTATGTATATTACTGAATAAAGAGATCTATGAATATAGTACTGAATGAATAAAGGAAATAAATACATAACTGTTTTACCAATTAGTCTATAAATCTAATCTACATCGTGCCCGTGGGAAATTGTAGATTATTGAAACACAAAGCTTACATGGTGATTGGTTATCTGTAGCTTACAGTACTCCCGGGATGAGTAGCTTTATCATACAGTAACTTTTCCGATACAAGGAGAGAGAGAGAGAGAGAGAGAGAGAGAGGGGGTTAAACCTCCACTCGACACAAACATATGGTTCAATTTTATTTCAATACTTCGCTTGGGCACAGGGGTCTTTAACAGTGGGGGGAAATCGAAGGACAAGGAGGCAACCCACGAGGTTATACAGGCGCCCCTACTCCTTGTCACGTACAGCCGGGGAATCGAAACCACGCCAGTTGACTCAATGACAGACCTTATGATACAGTACGCTCGTGCTAACCATTCTTCCATCCCCCGCCCCCGATACAAGTATCAATTGAAACCTTTTGCATTACATTACATAGATGGAATACATAACGAGAGGTTTAACGCCCACTTGACACAAACTAGGTCAATTCCGGAGTGACTAATAATTTAATTTTATTTCAATAATTCGCTTGTGTGTAGGGTTCTTTAGCAGTGGGAGGAAACTGGACCATCCGGAGAAAAACCTACCCTTCTCTGGTACAAGCTGGAAATCGAAACCACGCCACCTGACTCAATGACAGACCTTATGATCTAAAGCGCACGTTTTAGACCATTCAGTCCACCCCGACATAACACTCCAAGAGTGAATTAGAAATATCAGCATGTTTTTATTAAGGAGAGATAAAGGGTGGGGGTGGGGATGTTTGCTTTACATACCTTCTGTCCTTTCAAAAGTATTTATTGAGGTTTTGGAAGAGGAGGAGGTGACTATCCCCTACGCCAACCCCCACCCCCACACCAACCCTTATGCAAGACACGGCGACTGCTATTGGTTTGCAGTTTAGCATTGACCAATAAAGTACAGCGTAACAATATGTCTCTTATAACGCGGCTGGAAACATGCAGTCACTTTTATTGGAAAATACAGCCAATAAAATATTTTACATTAATATCAAAACGACAAAACGACACCAACATACCTTGCTGCATAAGAGAACCGATGGTAAACCAAAGACTGTTTAAAATGGTAAACTGGTTCTCTACGACGTCCGCATTCTCATTACATGGGTGGGGATTACACCATTCATAAGGACTGAAGCGGGCGATTACAAACAACATAAAACTAACACACAGATAAGCCGCTATCATATACACCCAGACTTCTACAGACAGCGGCGACAGGAAGGAAAACAGTTGTGGTGCTTTTGGAGTTGGTTTTGCGAACAAGATGGTGATACCAAGAGTCAGGAAAGGTTTGGTAAAATCTATAACTTGTTCTCTCTCGTGTGTAATAGACATTCCACCTAAACCAATATCTGCTTTCTGAAATAATTATATAATACATATATACAAATCGTGTAAAACCAATTTCGCAGGGAATTATTCACGAAGGGTTTAAATAAATCGATTCGAGAACACAAACTGTACATTAACTGTGCGCTAAAGTCTTAGCACAGAACTTAAAGATACATTATGGGAGATAAGATAACGCGATGGCAGTTCTCGCTATAATAGTTAAAAACTAGATAGTGTAAAGGTAATTTTCTGAAAATTTCAGTCAAATTGATCCACTATGAGCCAAGAATGAAGCGGGTGAAATTTCGGCATAGTCTCGGTCATCATTACTAAAATCATTAATATAAACAGCTTAGTCTCGATTATCCACTTTTGTTGATTTAATTATCAACGGCCGTTAGCGGCATACAGGAATCTAATCCAGCCAACATCGAAGGCTAGTCTTGACATCGAGAGTTTATTATGGTCTGGATAAGTTAATTAATGTCTAATTGATAATTTAGATAACATTTCAGGCCCGAAGAAAGCCTTGTAATAAGCAGATTTTGCTCTTGCATAATGTATGTTTAACTTTCAACTTATTTAAAAGGCCGAATTCTTAATGGGGCATTATGAAGGATTAGATGAAGATTTGGCAGTTCCCACTATAATAGTTAAAAACTAAATAATGTAAAGGGGACATGTTGAAAATTTCAGTCCAATTGCTCCATTCTGAACCAAGATATTGGCGATTTGATTTTAGACCTAACCTCGATCATAATTACTAAAGTCAGTACGATAAAATATTGTAATAAATCCGAAAAACTAGACAGCTGTCCTTGTCAGGCCCTCCGTCCTGCACCACGGACAAGGGGAAACCACGTCGTAAACTCCCGATGAACTTTCTCGGCCAATGCAGGGATCGAAGTAGGCCGTTGAATAGCATTTGATTTCTAAAACTTGTATTTGTCCTTTAAAGATACATTATGGGAGATTAGTTAAAAAGCTGGCAGTTCTCACTATAATTGTTAAAGATAGGTTACCAGGCAACGAAACATACGCCCACAGCAGCTAAATCCTCCGGGCAGTCAACAAAAGTTGTCGCATATTTTTACTTTTTTCGGTAATGAAACATTTAGAATACATTAAAATCTGATTAAGTACAACAATTCATTCAGTAATTATCAGAAAACCATAGAATTTGTTTGGTTTTTATAAAGTTCTGCTCCATGCTAATGTTTAGTATACAAATCTTTTAGCTGTTCAAGTCATAAAGATTCATTGAAAATCAATATACTTGTTCGTCTCAAGACCTTAAACAATGTGTATAAATTTAAAGTCAATCGGATATTAACTTTGACCTCTAGAGCGTCCACAAGATTTTTGTTGAAGTGATCAAGGGCCATAACACTGGCACTAATTATCGAAAATTGTTGAAAATCAATAGGCTTCTTCGTCTCATGACCTTAAACACTGTGTATAAATTTAAAGTCAATCGGATATTAACTTTGACCTCTAGAGCGTCCACAAGATTTTTTGAAGTGATCAAGGGCCATAACTCGGACGGTAATTATCGAAAATCGCTGAAAATCAATAGGCTTCTTCGTCTCATGACCTTAAACAACAATATACGACCACATTTCAAAACTAGATAATGTAAAGGGAATTTGCTGAAATGTTCAGTCATATTGATTCACTCTGAACCGAGATTTTAGCGATGGAATTTTCGGCCTAGTCTCGATCATCATTACTAAAGCCAGTACGACAAAAAAAACATAGTCTCGATTATCCATTTCATGATTAAATTATGAATAAACGTCGAACAGGAAATCGGAACCTAATCCAGGCTAGCGATGCCATCGAGAGTTGATTATGGTCTGGATAAGTTAATTAATGTCTAATTAATAATTTAGATAACATTTCAGGCCTAAAGAAAGACCTGCAATAGGCAGATTTAGCTCTTGCATAATGTATGTTTACTAAAGTCGGTACGCTAAAAACCATATGTCTTGATTATGAATTTTTGGATTTAGGCAGCAGGTCGGATTCAAATCCATTGAAATTCCGACACCTAAGATGGCACCGATAGTTGATTAGTGTCTTTTCATGTTAATTAATGTCTAATTAATAGTTTATATAATATTTCAGGCCTTAAAAAAGACCCGCAATAGGCAGATTTAGCTCTTGTATAATAATGTATGTTTTTAACTGTCCTGGAGATACATATCATAAATGTTTAGCGTTTTTTTTTACTTTCTAGAATGTTGTTGATGAATTTCTCGAGGGAGTGGTAATTACAGACAATTCGTCTATTAACCATAACTTCAAATATCGTCTCAGTACATCTGGTTGAGGGAAAATTCTAGATAAATTATTGCCACGTGAAATGATAAGATTTTAATGTACGGTTTGAACTTCTCCTGGGAAACGTTAATCAGATTAAATTTAAATAAACTTCTTTTAGCGTCACTTAAACATACATTTTGTTTTGGAATCTGGAATGGTTATTTTAAGCCGATTCACAGTTATTTTGATTACATGTTAAGACCACTTAATACCCCTGTCGCGAGATTGACCCTTTTCCTGAGTATGGATGGGAAACGAGTGAAAGAGCATCAGTCGTATTTACATGTATGTGTTTTCCAGGGGCGGGTCCAAGGCGGTGTGGGGGGGGGGGGGGGTCAAACCCCCACCCTGCTCAGCTACATAAACAAAATTGTAAAACAACACATTTTATGAGACAAGTGTAACGGTCATGTGTCCTTTATCCTTTACCATCAGACGGTGTTGGGGATGACATTCAAAACGCGAAATAATGATAGTCAGGAGCCTACCAAACCCCCTCCTGCAAAAAGTCCTGGATCCGCCCCTGTTTTGGGAAATGAAATGTGCGAGAGAGAGAGAGAGAGGGAGAGAGAGAGAGAGAGAGAGAGAGAGAGAGAGAGGGGGTGTAAACGTCCACTCGACACAAACCAGGTCATTTCTGGACTAACACATGTTTTAATTTTATTTCAATAATTCGCTTGCGCGTAGGGGTCTCTAGAAGTGGGAGGAAATCGGAGGACCCAGAGGAAACCCACCAGGCTGGACAGGCGACCCTACTCCTTGTCACGTACAACCGGGAAAACGACTCAATGACAGACCTTGTGATGCAACGCACACGCGCTAACCATTCACCCATCCACACCCCCACCCCCACCCCCACCCTGAATTCAAAAGAAAAGAAGTTGGAAAAATCGCCCTCATAGCATACTGTATGGCGTTTACCGGTCTACACTGGCACCGTATAATAGGTAACATGTCACGTTCTGAAACTGCATGCACTTTTTTCTGAGTTATGCGGCGCTTTGTCAAGTTTATTATAAAGTACATTCAACGTTGTTCCATTTGATCTTTCAGTTGTTTCTACCTTCACATTTCATAATAAGACAAATGATTTATACGCAATTAGTGACTGGTGCCACCCAAAACCCTAAACACGGATAACTACGTAAAATGTTTCGCAGCGAAAAAACCCAGTTCTGGCAAAGCGAGCTGGCATCTTGAACTTGGAATGAGTATCAAGGTTGTTGTATACTGGCCTAGAATTCGCTTTTTATCCTAAAAACACGTCTTCATACGAAATAAACAAACCCCAACAACATGTAGTTTTAATTGGATTGGTAATTTTCTCTCTCTTAAGGACATGTTTTTGCCTCTTATACATAATATTATGTATTGCCCCCAATCTGATTAAAATACAGATCTATATTTCGTTTCGTTTTTTATACTTTCGATGGCCTGAACTACATGAAGATCTGACCGGTTTTAGTAAAAGGTCGCGTCAGAGGTCGTACGAGCGGCTTTTGGCCCGATGACGTCAGACATTGGATTAGTCAATCAGCTTTGATGTTTCTAATGGTTTACCCATAGTTTCGTGCATCGCACGCCAAGAAGTCACCGTAACAGATGGCTTGATTGGCTAATCCCTCTCGCCATCCAGAACGCTGGTTATATAACAACTCTTCCAGAGCCTAGTGAAGTACAGACGAATAAAATGAAATTTTGAACTATAAAAACGAAACGAAACGAAACAGGATCTGTGTTTTAATCAGATTGTATTTACTCCTATAATCTACAAAATTGTGCGAAGTAACAGAGCTGGTAGTGTAATCATACAATTGGGACTTTATTCATATTTATTAACATCCCTGGGTACCTGAAATATTTTAACTGAATCAATACTCAGACATTGAGAACAAGGCCGTTTGTGTTTAAAGATGGGTTCCCAGGAAATCTATTTATCGGGTGGTTATTTCCAATAAAAGTATGGCAATTTTGGGATATATGGAAAAGTAGAGATATCCAATCTTACTAGAAAAATACTGGATTCCCCGAAAAACACTCATGGATTAGGAATTTCTGCACGCGTGATTCAAAGGTCACAAGCGAACATTGAGTGCTTGATGTACAAACTGATAAACTTTATGAATAGTTAGACGTACAATACTTTCCGAGATAAAAATGACGGGAAAAGACGCGGGTAGTGGATAATCCGAGAATTTAATTAGGATTCGATATATTCGTAATAAATAGTAAGAGATTAAAGACAACATCGTCTTATGTATGCCATGAATTCTCCTCTGGCGTCCGAGAGAGGTAAGTCACGTGACCTAAACATGACCTGGTTTGATCCAATTTTTATAGCAGGGCATTCCGTGGCAATTACAATGTTTGAGAAGGATCTGAAGCAAAATTATGACAAATTAATTAGTTTGAATATGTTTTTAGTCCATATATACCATTAAATCACCCAGTTTGTACGCGGGAATGTATCTTTAACAGTTTGATGATTCATAGCATTGGGTAATTATTATGGTCAATATATACGCACGTTACGAAACCATGCATCGGAAGATATTTTGAGAGAGAGAGAGAGAGAGAGAGAGAGAGAGAGAGAGATGGGGTTTAACGTCCACTCGACACAAATTAGGTCATTTCGGGACTAACACGAAACCCGAGACCAAATAAGTAGACGATGTTCCCTTTCGGGTCTGGCTGACTGACAACACGAAGTCACTCCGGAATTTCCACAGCCAGCAACGTATGGAAGACCAAACAGCTCTTTATTTAATGTTCTTAATTTTTAATTCATAGTCTTATTTCTTCATTTATTGTCGTATTTCGACATTTGTATACTAAAATTAACATTTGTATATGAAGAACGAAGAATTAACAACACTGAATAATAAAGAGCTGTTTGGTCTTCCATAACAACGGGGTCGAATCCATGACCTCATAGATGGCAATCTTACCTAGGATTTACACAGATAAAATATTACAGAAATGTCAAAGTAACATTTATTCGACGATAACTACCGAGACAAGGGCGGTAATTTGGTTAGAAACTGGGCCAAGTATACACAGGAGACTCATGCTATAGTTGGCTTATTACATTATTTCAATAAACTATGATTTAGTTGATAATATATACTATATTGAGAAATAAGAAATCGAGGGAGAGAGAGAGCAAGAGAGAGAGAGAGAGAGAGGGGGAGAGAGATGTGGGGTGGGATTTAACGTCCCCTCGACACAAACTAGGTCATTTCGGGAGTAACATAAGTGTTCAATTTAATTTTCAATAATTCACTTGCGCGTAGGGGTCTTTAGCAGTGGGGGAAAGCGGGAACAGGCGACCTACTCCTTGCCACGTAAAACCGGGGATTCGAAACCACGCCATTTGACTCAATGACACCATATGATACAGCGCGCGTGCTAACCATTCGGCCATCCACCCCCCCCCCCCCGACATGTCAAGAACAGGCACTAGCCAATGAAACGGCCTGTTACGGCTAGTTTCTGGCGTGAGGTGCACGGAACTGTGGATATCCCACTAGAAACAGCAACGCTGATTGGTTAATCAAGTGTCTGACGTCATAGGGTCAAAAGCAGCTCGTATAACCTCTGACGCGACCTGCCACTACAACTGGTCAGATCTTCGTGTAGTAGAGGCCATCGACAGTATAAAAAACGAAACGAAATATAGATCTGTATTTTAATCAGCTTGGAAACTATGCTTACCCTATCAACTAGTTCTCCAACTATTCCATCCCACTGACCATTCTTCTGAGAACCATAGGCATCAGCTTCCCGTATTGTAACAGAGAAATTCTTTCTTTCGGCTATCATATTCAACAAGTCGATACAGAAACCGATATAATCCCCCTCCCCTCTTTTAATAACGTAGGGTTCATCCTGAAATTAAAAGGAAATAAGGTTTAAGTATTACACTACTGCACCAACCGGAATAATAAAGACGGGACTATGCCATAAAGGTTAAGTCTAAATATTAAGGCCAACTGCAGATGTCGTCATGGTAACGAGGTTTTAACAGGGCTAGCGCTAAATCTAGCCTTAACCCGTAATCTCGTCAATAAACACGTGTCCTAATCTTTAGTACAGAACGCCGACATGCGTTGACAAGATGTTAACTCTAGACCATTCCATTAATTTGTATATGCCCACAACAGAGCAGAATAATTACAGGATTATTGACCAAGAGGTTCGGATTTCCCAACGTGGTTAGGCATTATCAGTGGCTCAGGGTGGAGGGCCTGGCAAGACACCGCGTCTAAGTTTTTGGGATGGGACAAAAAGTCAATGTCATGTGTACAACCGTATACAGTACAGGAACCTCTGACAGCTAGAATTCTAATTTCAGTAGGCATGATAATGTCTAAACATTAAGGCTACCTGCATATTTTGTCAAGGTCCCGATCTGTATGTAGTTCAGAATTTTTGACGTTTATCCGCATTCATTTTTAACCCTAACCATAACCAGGTCGTCCCTAATGCCTAAATCGTCGGTGGCCGAAACGTAAGTATACCTCTGTAATACCCCGTCAGACCCGGGTGGCGGTAGATATCGTGCTGTGGTCTCTATTGTCGCAAATGATCTCCCGAGTCACGGCGTTTGTTTTGAGCATGTTCAAAACAAACTCCAAGGTTCTGCGATCTGGCCTCGAAAGCTGCGAGAACACGGCTTTTTTCGAGTTTGTAATTTTTGGGACATTTTTTCCTCGCCTTGTGATCACGTTTGCCGGCAACCTTGTGCTTTTTCTGGTCGGCGCACGGTCGCAGTAGTGCAGTAAGGGCGTCACCGCGATCTGACAAGGGCATTAAAATAATACAATATCAGCTTACGAGTTTAACAACCACTGCTAGAGTGTGGTTCGCCAGGGCTTTTTCGTGATCTTGTTTCTTTACTGCATAATCCTGTGTGATATTAACCCCTTCAATTCTAGACCAGGCTCCTATCTGAAATATACAGTACATCATTTTGAAAAATAGGATTTCATACTCAGAATATATTCTGTCTTTTGTTTGCTTTAATATTTTAAATAATCTAGAGTTTGTCTTCCACTTAAACTGGTGGAAGCAATATCTCATGCAATACCTTACCTTTCTTAAACCATTTTCTGCTAATTCCAAAACATCTAATGTAAAATCGATTCGCTCTCCTTTTTCATAACGAATATTTCCAGATAGACCGTCAAAATTCATCTACAAAATAAAACGCAATTGGGTATCACATTTTCGTCGGATTAATATTAGTTACATACAAGGAACAAAAAACACATACCTTAAAAGTCAACTATTGGTACCAAAAACTAAAATCCAAAATTACTTAACAATGCATTATACAAGAGGTAAATCTGCCTATTGCAGGTCTTTCTTTAGGCCCGAAATGTTATATAAACTATCAATTAGACTTTTATTAACATGAAAAGACCTTAAACAACTCTCGAGAATTTGGTACATATGTTCCATTTGCGGGATATTTGTAAACAACCCATTTAATTGAAAATTAATCCAAGTCAATGACCGGGACAGATGACCCTTTGTGAAGAAGAGATTGCAATCATATAGCTGGTTTCTTCTTTCCCTTACTACACATATCGGGGGAGGAAGGGAGGGGGTGGGGGGTGTAACGCGAGCGTGGCGTTGTTTTGATTCTCCGCTTGTACGCGACAATGAGTAGAGTTGCCTGTCCAACCTCGTGGTTTTTCTCCGGGTCCTCCGGTTTCCCCAATATGAACCATATGTTAGACTAGAAATGAAATGAAATGAAATAGGGTTTAACGCCCTACTGTTCTGCTCCTATACTGGGCTAATGAAGACGGGCATACGCCATTCAGTGTGCTATGAGGGAAATTTTGCCCGGGCAGCGGCACTATCGCCTACTCTTATATAGAATTCCAACTGCCAAGGGATCTTTTACGTGCATTCTAATGTATACACGGGACCTCGGTTTTACGTTTCAACCAAAGGACTAGACAGCTGTTCTTGTCAGGCCCTCTGTTCTGCACCACTGACAAGGAGAAACCACGTCAGAAAATCAGGATGAACTTTCTCGGCCAATGCAGGGATCGAACACCCGACCTTAACCACCTAGCCACCGTGGCTCCAATTAGACTAGAAATTACCTAGTTTGTTAGTTTGTGTCCAGTGGACGTTAAACCCCACCCCTCTCTCTCTTTCTCTCTCTCTCTCTCTCTCTATCTCTTACGCAAAACAACACTTGACTACTAAATTAATTTGTTTTACTTACCGATTTCATATAATTCAATAAACTGTTGCCATGGTTCCACGATTGAGCTTTATCACATGATAAAGCACTAGTAGTTACGTCTTGAGCCTGGGACAGCTCGTGCAAAGCGCGTGCAAACAGGTGAACTGCGTCATAAACTAAAGCTGTCTCTGTCTTGAAATGGGAAAAAAACATAAATTTCAGTACAGAATTACTTTTAGATTTGTGTTAAAGTAGCTAAGTCTCTAACTCAATATCATCCAAAGTCTTACACGATGAGAACACGAATTTTTTGTCAATTCAAATCAATATTGATGTTGTGATCTTACCGGGAAAAGATGGGCTTCTGATATCCCATATTTAAGACAAAAAATAAACATTTTACCATAGGTACACGAATCGTGTAGTGCGTTTCTAACACGTGACCAGAAAGAACGAGGCAAGAAATATTCCACATCTCATGTCAAACGGTCACGCCATATCTTAGCTGGAGAGCATGCGGAATAGACTGGAATAACCAGACGCTAGAAACTGCAAATATTAGCGATTTAGCTCCTTTAAGGTCAAAGGTCAAAGTATAATAAAGCCTGACAGTTTAGATCTAAATATTACGGCCACTTCCATATTTAATTTGGTCATGGTCACTTGATGTAAACAGAGATAGCCGTAATCCTAAGTCTATCCCTAGCGCTAACCCTAATCTTAGAGCTAACCCTAACCCTTATCATAACCCACAATCCTCGGCAACACTCACGTGCCCAAGTTCTGTCTACATCTCGTGATTAGCGCTTCATGTGAAGGGGGCGCCACAGAATTTCAAAATATTTAATTTAAAAATTAATTAAGAATTTTTTTTTTTTTTTTTTTTTATCTTTTCTTATCGTTTCCTTCTTTTTCTCAATATATAATGACGTGTATAGAACCTCAGTGGAACTCTAGAAGCGTATTAAACAAATTGTTTATGGTTTATCATTGTTTAAATAGGTCACCAAAATTGTCAAAGTGCTTAAGGCCTCTATAGGTCTTAATTCCGCCCTGCTTTTGAAATTTTATTAAAGACTGTTTCTAGAGCAATTTTCCTACGTGGTTTCCCCTTGTCAGTGGTGCAGAACGGAGGGCCTGACAAGGACAGCTGTCTAGTCCTTCGGATGAGACGAAAAACCGAGGTCCCGTGTATACATTGGAATGCACGTAAAAGATCCCTTGGCAGTTGCGATTCGATATAAGAGTAGGCGATAGTGCCGCTGCCCGGGCAAAATTTACCTCATAGCACACTGTATGGCGTATGCCCGTCTTCATTAGCCCAGTATAGGAGCAGTACAGTAGGACGTTAAACCCCATTTCATTTCATTTCATTTCGATAAACAGGGTAATTTTACAAGAAGAATTATAATGACGTCGACCATTACTCAACCAACAAAATAGCCATATTGAGTCTCAAGTTAGAAAAAAACTGCCATCATGACTTTTAGAGCATAATAATCCTTTCAGATATATAATTAGGGTGATTGTATCTCAAGGTTGAAATTATCAGAGAAGCTGCAGAGGAGGAATGTTGAGTGAGTAATCAAAGTTATGCTAATTCGCTGTTTAGTCTACCGTTGGCCTATTTTCTTAACATCTGATTCAACCTGTCATAACAAATATATCCAAGATACTACGACTTTAAAATTCCACGAAATAAAATGGGGTTTTGCGTCCTACTGTTCTACTCCGACTGGGCTAATGGAGACTGGGGCTAATGAGTGAAAGGATAACTTCATTTCTTTATGGCAAAAGTTGAAGTGGTCGATTCTTGCTTTAACGTCCTACTGTTCTGCTCCGACTGGGCTAATTAAGACGGGCATACGTCATACAGTGTGTTATGAAGAAAATTTTGCCCGGGCAGCGGCACTATGGCATATTCTTACACCGAATTCCAACTGCCAAGGGGTATTTTACGTGCACGCCAATATATATACACGGGAGCTCGATTTTTCATCTCATCCGAACAAATAGACACGTGTCCCTGTCAAGCCCTCTGGTCCAATGTCAAAAGGGAAACCACGTCGGAAAATCCAGATGAATTGATTCTTGGTTTAAACTACATGTATATAAAATATTACAATTGATCATTGACACATGACATTATATAAGTTGTTTATAATAGTAAGCTATAATGTGTAGAAGTAAGCTAAATCTATATATTTGTTAAGGCCAGCTCAATGTTTGTCAAGGTCGCTCAGATGTAAATAAGGTTAGGGTACGTGACTGTTGGCGACATTGTAGGCTGCCCTGTTTAATTCTCGTGACTTATGACAAAACATTGAGCTGTCCTTATTATTAAGCACTAATCGTCGCAGTTTCTGAAGATTGCGACTATTTCCACAATCCATCAGATGTTTACATAAAGATCTAAAAAAGCAATACTGTTTACGTTCTTCGCGAAAATTCCATTTTCATTTTCTTCTTTTTAATATAATAATTAAACTGGTAAAATAAATAGACTAATTCTAAATAAGAAAAACTAATGTTATTCATTTTTCTACGAAACCATGCCAAAAATATAATAAAACAGAAAGTAATCACCCATACACATATCATTGAAAAAGAATGTAGTAGAAAAACGTAACCATTCAAAGAACAGATTGACGAAAAACGTTAAAAGATCGGAATAAAGAAAAATGGAAGACAAGAATTTAATGAAAAATGTTAGAAAATCCTAATGGTAGACGGGAACAATGTGTTCGTTTTACATGCGAAAATCGCAAATACCTTTACAGAACACATGCAGATGGCAAATACCATTGTCGAATACAATTAGAAAAGTACAAGGCGCATCTGTTAAACCAAATGGCATTGCTGCGTTTTGTGATATAGATATCATGCCACACAGTAATTGCTCATAGTATATACAGCATCGATCGTCAATTATTATTTCATGAGATGGTGCATACAGAAGGCATATGTCATTTATTATTTAATGAGATGTTTTAAATGTGTATTCAGAAGACTTATACTAATTGTTCGAGTCTACCATTATATTTATAGAACTATCAAATACCATACCAGTATCTCAATAGATGTATTAGAAAAACCCTAAAAATCCAGCAGCAGCAGCAAAAATATATACAACAGTACGTTGTTATTATATGAAACAAGCGAACACAATCTGAAATCACTAATACACACAATCGTAATTTTTGTATTGACTAAAAGAGAGAACAGTGCCAATCTTGTAAGCACCCAAGCTATAAATCAGATACGTTATCGATGCCGAAGGAGGTTGAATTGATTGATCCATGATACACCCAATCGTACTGTTGTATTTGACTAAAAGAGAGAACAGCATCCAAGCTATAAATCAGATACGTTATCGATGCCGAAAGAGGTTAAATCGATTAAAACGTTTAAGATGCAGCATGGCAGGTTTTTTCTCCCCATCTTCAAATGTTACATGTATTATCATGTAGGCATTTATTCATGCAAGACTATAATCAACCCCCTAGGACATCGAGTGGCTTAGATATTGAATGACGTAGACCATCCGTGCTATGCACTCGGTTAACGTTAAACTAGGGACTGACAACTGAGACGTCGTTTATTATCATGTGAATTGTAATTGACAATCGGCTATTTTTTGCCAAAAACTCATATCTTCGCTCAAAATAAAGTAATTTGACTGAACTTTCCAATATATTCATTTTTCATATTTTCTTTTTTTGAACTATTATAGTAAGAAAGACTGGATGTTTATTTAAATTTGACGAAATGCATTTTTTTAACTTAATATGAATAAAATATAATATCATCGATCATAAAGAGCATTCAAATTCAAAGTTTATTAATACAAAATAACAAAGCAATGTAAAAGTCGGCGCACTTTATCAGAACTGGCCCATCTGAAGGGGCTATTTATATGTATTTTTGATACTACATACAGTGTATCAGAACTGGTACCATCTGAAGGGGCTATTTATTTTTGATACTATTTACAGTGTAGAATTTTTCGAAAATAACGAATGTCTGTGTGTATTAATCAAAAATTCAGATGTTAGAATAACGTTAGTTCAATAAGCTACACCTACCTCTATTTCAGCTTGTCCCATTAAAGGTGATTTGCCTGATCTTCGTTCTTCTAATAACCATTCCGTTCTTACATCTATTACCCTTCGTCTATCTGGATTTATTAATCTAAACGACGTGATGTTCGCGCCTCCGTGTTTATAATCTTCTAGATCAACCAGCCCTAAATCCTGCAAGCATACACAGATTTTCACTAACGAATAGATGAATTAAATTAATTTTGCCCTTTGGGGATTTTTAACGTGCTGCAAATAGTGTACACGGGACTCCGTGTCTTGACCCATCCAAAGGACTAGACAGGGAACATTTCCTGGCCCTCATGCTTAGTGAGCCACCGTGATGGCGGGTGATGTGCACGGGACTGATGTGCACGGGACAGAGCATAATCACCCATTGACGAGAAGGGTCACACAAAACTGACAATATTTTGCTATATTTAATGTGATCAGGGCCAAACGTAGAATTTGAAAATTTTTGTGTTTTTATATAGTCTAGATAAAACCAACTGTACTAAATCAATTATTAGAATTCACATTCCATTATATAAACTATGAATATGACATTCTCCGCGGTATACCCTAGGATTATGACATTCCATTGTATCAACTAGGATTATGACATTCCATTGTGACATACTCCGTTGTATACCCTATGAATATGACATAATCCGTTGTATATCCTATGATTATAACATTCCATTGAAATGATTATGTATGAAATATTCCATTTCCTGCACTGTGGTTATGACATGTTTCATTGTATACACTATAATTATAACATGTATACTGTATAGCACGTGCGCGCTGCGCTGTATCATACGGTCTGTAATTGAGTCAACTGGCGGGGTTTCGAATCCCCGGTTGTACGTGTTCAACCTCATGGGTTTTCTCCGGGTCTTCCGGTTTTCCCCCACTGCTAAAGACCCCGACGCGCAAGCGAATTATTGAAATAAAATTGAACCATGTGTTAGTTCAGAAATGCGCGTAGGGGTCTTTAGCAGTGGGAGGAAATCGGAGGACCCGGAGAAAACCCACGAGGTTGGACAGGCGACCCTACTCCTTGTCGACATGGAAAGCGCGACCACCGAATAACTTCCACTGAGGAACACAAAGATCATTTCTGATTAATTGATCGTAACTGTCAGATTGGATGTAAAAATTTAGGAGATCGCACAGGTACTACGGGGCACTTCCAACCAGACACTGATAGGCAAGAGACAATATTTTGAAATCGATCCTGGCTTGAACAGGCAACCAATGTAGGTTTTTTCAATACTGAAGAGATATGAGAAGGTGGATTTCTATTCACAATGCTAGCAGCTGTATTTGGAATACGTTGAAGTCGTTGGTTTTGATACTTTGGTATGCCGACAAGTAGATCATTGCAATAGTCAAGTCTAGAAAATATCAGGCCCAAAGTCCACAAAGCATTCTTAGACTTAAGTTAAGAATTTGCTTAACTTGAAATCACTGTTGATGAGAAATACCTCGTATTTTTGATCCAGAAACACAAAACTTTTGATTTATTTGATACATTAAAACAACAAAAGATTTATAAAGGGCTGTATTTTAGTTAAAATAAGACAATACAAGTTTGGGTAAATTCTTAACTTGAGTCTGAGAATGCTTTGTGAACTCTGGATTTGAATATAAGCTAGCATTACAAGCAATTGTGGACGCTGGACGGACGGACGGACCGGGACGACAACAATATACGACCACATTTCAAAGTGGGCGTATAAAAAGCAATAACTTACTAATGTAGTAAATAAATAGTGGTAATATTCTGATACCATGTGGACCTTTAATGCCTATAATATAAAGGAAAATGATATTAATAATCTATATATAACGAGACGGTTGGGTTGCCATAAATATAAATTTCAAGTCAATCGGATAATAAATGGGGCAGTATATTTATAGAGATCGACAGATATGGGTGACGACAGTATGAAACAACATTTTAATGTGGCCGTATAAAAAATATGATGGGGTTAAAAGTATGATTGCGCTAAAAGTATGGTACGGTTAAAAGAATGCTAGGGTTAAAAGTATGTTTGCGCTAAAAGTATGATAACGTTAAAAGTATGTTTGCACTAAAAGTATGTTAAAGCGAGAATTTCAAATTTTCTAAGAAAGTCAAAACATAATTATTTCTATGTCTATTGCTCAATAGGTTATCAAATCACTATTATACGATCATGGGCATTATTTCCCACCCTTAAAAATCTATGACACAGGAAATAACAACACAATTACCTCCCCTGTTTTGCTATTGACAACATGGGGCAGCCATTTTCCAACGTTGGTATTTGAAGTTAAAAATGATATTTTTGCCAATTTCTCAGCTGGCAATAGCGAATTATAGGATTAATAGGATTATTCTTTAACAAGGTAGGACTGTTTATGGATACCATCTATTTTAAGGCTTTATTTTAATACATTTTAAAAATATAACTTGAAAATTTGCAATTGCAACTTTAAGGTTAAAAGTATGTTTGGGTTAAAGGTATGATATGGTTAAAAGTATGATTGCGTTAAAGATATGGTAGGGTTAAAAGTATGGTGGCGTTAAGAGTATGTTTGGGTTAAATGTATGGTAGGGTTAAAAGTATGTTGGCGCTGAAAGTGTGATAGCGCTAAAAGTATGGTAAGCTAAAAGTATAGTAGGGGTAAAAGTATGGTGGCGCTAAATCCAAGGAAAATACAGAATGATAGATTTACATAAGTAATGATAGAGCTAACATAAGGAATGATACAGCTAACATAAGGAATGATACAGCTAACATAAGGAATGATACAGCTAACATAAGGAACGATAGAGCTACAAAAAAGGAATGAACCAACTAGAAACTGTAATGAAAACTAAGATGAACTTACTGCATGTAAAATTTTCTTTACTCTTGACACGTGACAATCAATAATAATTCTGAAAGCTCCCCTCTCTTTTAAATCTTTAAATAAATTCACGTAATCGTTGTTTATAGTGTGGAGTTTGCGCACTGTCAGTTTGGCTGTATTACCTTCCGGTGCCTTAAGCACTTCCTGTAGTCTGGTGAGACCTGAAATACAAATACAGATGGAATGAATTAACCCAAGGACAAATCATTTTAATTACTTTTGAGAATTATCTATAATCGTCATTCCACATACAAATTAAAGTTACAATTAATTTCATATTTTCCAAGAATGTCAAAACATAATTATTTCTATGTCTTTTGCTCAATAGGTTGTCAACTCACTATTATACGATCATAGGTTATCTTTCAAACATTTAAAAATCTTCACACCGGAAATAATAACACAATTACCTCCCTTGTTTTCCTATTCCCCACCATGGAATAGCTATCTTCAAACGTTTGAATTTAAAGTTGAAAATGATATTTTAGCCAATTTCTTAACAGGCAATAGTGAATTATAGGATTAATAGGATTATTCTTTAACAAGGTAGGACTGTTTATAGACACCCTCTATTTTAGGGCTTTATTTTAATACATTTTAAAAATATAACTGAAAAATATGAAATTGTAACTTTAAGCGAAATCTCCTTTTTCATTACAGACTAGTAGCGTGCAAAGGTTCGGTGATAGCATGACCCAAAGACTCGCGGACTGGGCCTAATACGGAAAATTTAAGTATGCTTAAAACTTTTTATTCAAATTGAATATAAATCAGCCACATTAATAAGGTTAGGTGTGCCAATTAGATGTACATGCAACGGATGCCCGTGGCCATCGTCCCGTCTGCACCGCTTCCTACACGCTATTGTTATGGGCTCGGGAATGTACCGAGCAGTAGAACCATTCGCTTTAAACTGAACCGATTTTTCTGTTGTGGATTACAATATCCGTGTCATTGTCAGGTTTTCGTTGTTGTCTTGTTGTCTATAACAGTTCACAGATAATGAAAAATGAACATACTGAGAATTGCATTCAAATTACTTTATTCTTGGTCAATTTATGACTGTTTGATGAAATGTAGTGCACATGTTTTTCTTATTGTAGCAACGGTACTTGACAATCGAGGCTAAGTCTCGATTATCCACTTTATCGTTAAATTTTTAAAAGATCTCGAGGGTGTTTGAATTCATTTAAATCTCAGCCATCCGATGGTCTAGAGAGTTGTTTATAGACTTGGCATGTAAATAAATGTCTAAAAAAATAGTTTATATATATATAGAGAGAAATGGGGTTTAACGTCCACTCGACACAAGCTATGTCATTTCGGGACTAACGTATGGTTCAATTTTATTTCAGTAAATCGCTTGCGCGTAGGGGTCTTTAGCAGTGGGAGGAAACCGGAGGACCCGAGAAAACCCACGAGGTTGGACAGGCGACCCTACTCCTTGTCACGTACAACCGGGGATTCGAAACCACGCCAGTTGACTCAATGACAGGCCTTATGATACAGCACGAACGTGCTAACCATTCGGCCATCCAACCCCCCCTAGTTTATATAACATACGAAGCCAAAATAAAGACCAGCAGATTTAGCTCTTACATAGCGCATCTTTAAATATGTTGCCAAATTTCTGAAGGGGGGGTGGATGGCCGAATGGTTAGCACGCGCGCGCTGTATCATACGGTCTGTCATTGAGTCAACTGGCGGGGTTTCGATTAAGGGTCAATATGATGAGAGAGGAAAACAAGTGCCAAATGAAAAGAAATTGGGTTTGACGTCCTACTTTTCTGCTCCGACTGGGTTAATGCATACGTGTGTATGTGTGTGAAATAGTTTTATTTAACGTCCGCTTCCACAGAAGTGATATCGCAGACAAGGAAAACAGGTGCTTATAAAATACTATTTTATCTATTCCCACTGAATGGCATTAAGTGGAGAACAGAAAAGAAGTCATTATACCGCTTTCCCCAATTTCCGCTTTTTATCCTTATCATTTACATGACAATACTCCGATGTGTTCGCTGCCTGATTCGAAAAAAAATCATTCTTGATACGGAACATCCGTGTTTTTTCTACTCTTGTCAAAGGAATATAAAACAGGCAGAATCATTTTTATTTATTCTGTAAAATCAACTCAGACTTAATGAATTGTATAATTGGATTAAGACCACTTTTATTATCTTTTCCTTTCGTCCGTTCTTTCTTGTTTTAACGTCAATATTTTGACTTGAGTCTCGAGAGAAGAGGAAAAATACGTCAAACGATATTGAAATAGCTTGAATTATTCACCATAAACAAACCAGAGGTCCTTAACATCGAGAATAATAAAATATAATTACTTTGTGTGGAACTTGTAAAAAAAACGACGATTGATATTCAAAAACGAGTAGCTTTGGAATAGCTGAATACATAAAAGGTACGCCTTAAAGAAAATTGGGATGGGTTTATTGTCCAACTGTCCTGCACCAACTGGGTCCAGGAATAGAAATGAAATGGGTTATAACGTCCTACTGTTCTGCTCCGAACTGGGCTAATGAAGACGTACATACGTCATACAGTGTGCTATGAGGGAAATTTTGCCCGGGCAGCGGCACTATCGCCTACTCTTATATCGAATTCCAACTGCCAAGGGATCTTTTACGTGCATTCCAATGTATACACGGGACCTCGGTTTTTCGTCTCATCCGAAGGACTAGACAACTGTCCTTGTCAGGCCCCCGTCCTGCATCAATGACAAGGGGAAACCATGTCGGAAAGAATACATAAAAGGTACGTTTTAAAGGGAATTGAGACGGGTTTATTGTCCCACTGTCCTGCACCAACTGGGTCTAGGAATAGAGGCAAACGCCAGGCAGCCACGGTGGCAAAGTGAGTAATACGCCGGCTCCTTAGTCTGCAGGTTGCGGGTTCGATCCCGGTGTTGGCCGAGACAGTTCATCGCGATTATATGGCGTGGACGGAGGGCTGCCAAGTACAGATGTCTAGTCGTGTGGATGGGGCGATAAACCGAGGTCCAGTGTACACATTGTGTGCACGTAAAAGATCCCTTGGCAGTTGGAATTCGATGCAAGAGCCGCGTGGACGGAGGGCTGACAAGTACAGATCTCTAGTCGTTTGGATGGGTCGATAAACCGAGGTCAAGTGTACACATTGTGTGCACATAAAAGATCCCTTGGCAGTTGGAATTCGATGTAAGAGCCGCTGTATGGGCAAATATCCCACATATCCCCCATAGCGTATGTCCGTCTTCATTATCCCAGTCGGGGTAGAGCAGTAGGTCGTTAAACCCCATTTCATTTTATTTCGTTTCTGTGTTTACACCCACGCATCAAATTCCAACCAGCAAGGTCGCCTGTCCAACCTCGTAGGTTTTCTCCGGGTCCTCCGGTTTCCTCCCACTGCTAAAGACACCTACCGCAATGTTAGTCCCGAAATGACCTAGTTTGTGTCGAGTGGACATTAAACCCCATTTCTCTCTCTATCTCTCTCTCTCTCTCTCTCTCTCCAACCAGCAAGGGTTCTTAGACGTGTGCACGCCAGCATAAAGATTTAACTTAATTTAATAAACAATCTTTTTTCACCAAATCAAAGGGATAGATATCTTTAATCAATTCGACATTTTCATTTTTCGCCAATTTCAGACTGAATTATTTACGGCCGCAAAGATACAAACCAAATGTAGTAAGAAAAAACCAAGTCGAACGTTATTCAAACATTCTCTTACATAGAATACACAGACCGTATGATCGAGACAAAAAACCCTTCTCGAATATCAAGTGGAAAACTGAAGTAGAAGGCAACAAGCGGATAAGAGGGAAAATTGTTTGATTAATACTCAATGGGGTTTGAAATGTGTCAACTTTCCACGTGCTATAAAACTTCACTAAGAAGATATTCATAGTTCAGGGAATTTAAAATCTCGTTAATGTACAGAAATCGCGAGATTTTGAGTGATTTGCTGTCATGAAGTAATCCAATCGTGTTACGTTCCTCCATGGAATTTAGCTATTTATTCGCCTTCTAACTCATCACGTGACATCATTAAACCTCTTGTCAGAGAGATCTCGACACTCAACGATGCAGGAATTAGCCGGTTCACCCACCATCTAAACACAATTATCGGTTTTAATACGCCTTATAATCACATTTATACCATGTTTTAAAGAATTAGAATTTATATTTAAGTTTTAAAATGAAATGAATAGGGATTATCCACCTAGCTTTCTGCACGTCTACGTCTAAAAATTAAGGCCAACTGCAGATTTTGTCAAAGGTAACGAGATTTTAACAGGGTTAGCCCAATCCCTCTCCCGAACCCTAGCCATTACCCTAACCCTAACCCACAATCTCGTCAGTGTACATATTGGCGTGCACTTCAAAGATCTCTTGGTAGTTGAAATTCGATATAAAAGTAGGCAATAGTGCCGATGGCCGGGCAAAAGTTCCCTTATAGTACACTGTATGGCGTATGTCCTTCTTCATTAGCCTAGTCGGAACAGAAAAGTAGGACGTTAAACCCCATTTCATTTCATTTCACTGTCATGCTTACCATCGTTGTCTTCGTATAAAACAGTAAATTCGTCCCAGCCCCAATGTTTGACGACATCTTTATAAGCTCCACTCAACGTCAGGTAGTTGGGGTACAGACTAATTGAATAATAGTCCCTCGAATCACGGGGATCCCAATGCCACTGTAAATGGGGAATCTCGAAGGCATTACACATTGACTGCACATGCGCAGCGGAAAGACTTGATATGGGACCAAAAATGGCGGCTACACCTTGATGTACCATTCGACATACTGAAAATAAGCAAACGAAAAATGTTTAAAGATAAATGGCATAAATGAAACCGTAAATAAATCAAGCTATTATTGGTTAAATAAACTATGTTCTGAAATGGGTCTTTGGTTTGATCCCGGTGTTGGCTGAGACAGTTCCAGCTTGATTTCCCGTTGTCACTGGTTCAGAACGTAGGCTTGATATTGAAAAGTATCTATTCCTTCGGATGGAATGAAAATCAGAGATCCACCAGTGTACTCTGTCATAAAAAAAGAGTTCGACCCGACGTAAATACTAACTTCTATGCATAATCATTGTGCTTTGAACGAACAAATAGTTTGCGGGGGGGGGGGGGGGTAGCCGAATGGTTAGCACGTGCGCGCTATGTCATAAGGTCTGCCAAGAGTTAACTGGCGTGGTTTCGAATCCCCTGTTGTACGTGACAAAGAGTAGGATCGCCTGTCCAACCTCGTGGGTTTTCCCCGGGTCCTCCGGTTTCTTCCCACTTCTAAAGACCCCTACGCGCAAGTGAAATATTGAAATAAAATTGAACTGTATGTTAATCCCAAAATGAACTGGTTTGTGTCGAGTGGACGTTAAACCCCATTTCTCTATCTCTCACAAATAATTTTTTCAACCATACAACACCGTATTAGTCGGTCAAATTGGTGTCTATGTGATGCGGGCTTAATATACAATAAACACTTAAAATTTCATTTGAAAAATATTAAAATTAACGATTAAATTAAACAAAATATCTGTTGACCGAAAAAATATTTCGATCGATGTATAAATAATTTGTTGGACGTGACGGTATAACTCGGTCAAATCGATGTCAGTCGGACCCGTGGACTAATGCTAGGTTCACACTGTCGTGCGATGCTTTACGATAGGATTGTCCCCGATCTGATCCCTGCTGATACGTGCAGATACGTTCGGATACGTTTCGATACGATCAACCACAATACATGATAAGACCTGATAGGATCAGAGAGAGAGAAATGGGGTTTAACGTCCACTCGACACAAACTAGGTCATTTCGGGACTAACATATGGTTTAATTTTATTTCAATAATTGGCTTGCGCGTAGGGGTCTTTAGCAGTGGGAGGAAACCGGAGGACCCGGGGAAAACCCACGAGGTTGGACAGACGGCCCTACTCCTTGTCACGTACATCCGAGAATTCGAAGCCACGCCAATTTACTCAATGACAGACTTTATGATACAACGCACACGAGCTAACCATTCAGCAATCCAACCCCCCTCTGATAGGATCAACACGATTTCAATCGTTGCACGAATCGTGATAATGGGAACCTAGCTTAACAGACAAAAAACATTTAAAGTACACATATAATATCAATTTAAACATTTCAAACAAATATTAACCTCCACATAACTAAAAAACACAGTAATGGTGTCCAGGTGAAAATAATTCAATTGTTAATAATTGATAAAAGGCAATATTTGTTTTGGTTAAAATGTGACACACCTGTTTTATTAGCTGTTTAACCTACAGGTGTTTGTAATATTTGTATTAGTAGAGGAAGCCGCGGTGGCTCAATGCGTAAGACGTTGGCTCGCTAACAAAAAGGACTCGGCTTCGGTCCAGATGTTTGCCGAGAAAGGTTCTCGGAATTTCCCGTTGTAATAATTGCCCTTGGTCAGTTGTGCGGGACAGATGACCTGGCAAAGAACGTATAGTCGGTCTGGTGGAATGAAAAGACGGGGTTCCGTGTACACATTGGCGTGCACGTACAAGAAACCTTGTGAGTTGGAATTCGTTATAATAGTGGGACGTAGTGTCGCTGTCCGGGCAAGACCCCGCCCCTCGACCACACACACCCACACACACACATAGAACATACAACACTGTATGGCGCACGCCCATCTTTATTGGCCTATTCGGAGCAAGACAGTTGGACGTTAAACCCAAATTCATGTCATTTTTGTAATAATAGAATCCTGATAAATATAATGATCCACCGGAAATTGAGGAAGAGTCCATTATTTTGTTTTAAATAGTAAAGGGAATCATCTATGGCAATAGGCCGCGAATGAACAGATGGGGTAAGTATCAGTCTCCCCTAGATCTTGTCTGCGATATCAATAATGTGGAAGCAGATTCCAAACGGCCAATATTGTACTGTTAGGAAATGAAATGAAATGGAAAGGGGTTTAACGCCATACATTGAGCTATAACCGAAAATTTTGCCGGGCAGCGGCACAATGCCCTACTCTTATGTCGAATTCCAACTGCCAAGGGATCTTTTACGTGCACGTCAATGTATACACGGAACCTCAGTTTTTGTCCCATCCGAACGACTAGACTGCTGTCCTTGTCAGGTCCTCCGTCGGAAAATCCCAAAGAACTTTCTCGGCCAATGCAGTGATCTAACACCCGACCTCCAGGCTAGCGAGCCAGCGTCTTACTCACTTAGCCACCGTGGATCCCCATAGGAGAGAGTGGGGATGGTTCAGACACTTTTGTTTGGGTTTTTTCCACATTTATGCAACTATACTAATGCACTTGTCTCATCTCTCAACTTAAGAATGGAAAATAAAATAAGCTGTATTTAGTCAGTGATAGAGCTTTGTAGCTGTAAAATTCTTTGTGTTGGACCATTTTTTTTTTGGTGGGGTGGGAGGTGGGGGTGGATAGAAAAATGTCCGGATTTACCCCATTAGCAGGGAGACACCGGTCACCACTCACTGTTGTGTGTGTGTGGGGAGGGGGGGTACTTTGGACAAATGGAGGAGAATTGGCCAAAAGCAAATTGAAATAAAGTTCTTTCACAGTTTGGTTGTATTTATTCAAAAAATTCTGTTAACAGTAAAGTTAACACAGTAATGATATATTTAAAGCTGAGTGTTATCTGAGGCATATTTTTTAACATAGCTGGAAATAAAGGAACGTATTCAAAAAGGAATGAACTAATAATTCGAAAGCCTCAAAGCTTCTTGCTATTCTCTAGGTATGACATCAATCCATAATTTACATCGAAAAAGCTAGCGAATGTTTATTCCAGCAAATGACAGACCATATTTGTAGTAATAACTCATCCAATTGTTGCTACTGGACAAGAGTTTCAGGAGAATTGACAGATTTTGATTTAATGGAAGTAAAGCAGTACCCGTAATTTCAGTAAACCTAAAGGACCCCATAACTGCCAGTCATTATTCTTTTTTTGTCAAATCTGACTCTTTGAAATACTTAACTGTTTCATCCGGATGATTGTGGGGTAATTCAGGACAAGTGTCCGGATGTACCCCAAAACCCACAATTCTGATGTAAACCGCCATTATGTTTATTTACAATGAGAGAGTGAGAGAGGGAGAGAAAAAAAATGGGGTTTAACGTCCACTCGACACAACTAGGTCATTTCTGGACTAACATATGGTTTAATTTTATTTCAATAATTCGCTTGTGCATAGGGGTCTTTAGCAGTGGGAGGAAACCGGAGGTCCCGGAGAAAACCCACGAGGTTGGACAGGCGACCCTACTCCTTGTCACGTACAACCGGGGATTCGAAACCACGCCAGTCGACTCAATGACAGACTTTATGATACAGCAGGCGCACGCTAACCATTCAGCCATCCACCCCACCGCTATTTACAATGAACATAACATGTTGAAATGTTTATTGTAAATAAACATAATGGCGGTAATTTATCATATTATGATAAATTGTCAATCTATTTCCATTAATTAGCGAATGAAAAAAGAGTTGACAGCGTAACACAAAAAAACCTCTTTAAACATCGAATTTATTTAACCATTTAACTTTAGAAATATTTTACATCAACTTTGTCAAAAATAGAAAAAAGGTTATCTGCATGTACATTTAAATGTTTATTTCTGCCAAGTGTTTTCTATGTTACAAGATGAGATCATTAGTATTTAATTAACCAATCAGAAAACAAATAGCATTGTGAAGATTAAAGCTATAAGGGTTGTCCGGACCTTCCCGTCGTTCGGCCAACCCCGCTCTCCCCTACTACCAAGAAGAAAAGCATTTCGTCAATACATTACTTACGCCATTGTTGAAACAATCATAATCGTCTGTATTCTGTATGTCTGTTATGTATAGTGGCTGAATGGTATTGTGTCGTCCTTCATAATGTCGCCCTTCGTGATGTCGCCGTATGAAGAGCGACACCACGACATGACAACATGATACCAATTAGTCACGATATAGTTGTATGTATAATTTAACGTGAAATTTCGAGGAAGCACGTGAAGAAACTTCAATTAAAACTAATTTCATTTCTTAATAAAAGTCTTTATTAAACTCAACCTATTGTTTGTTTGTTTGTTTTTTTTGGGTTTGTTTTGGGTTTTTTTTTGGGGGGGGGGGGGCGTGTGATTTTTTGTTACGTTGTTGTATAGCGGCGGGGTATTTATTTTGTTTTTATTAATATTATCTACAGAGCATTACATATTTGTAACACGACAGAGCCTTACATATAACTGTAACACCACAGAGTCTTACATATAACTGTAAAACCACGGGGCCTTAAATATAACTATAACTGTAAAACCCAGGGGCCTTACATATAACTGTAAAACCCAGGGGCCTTACGTATAACTGTAAAAACAAAGGGGCCTTACGTATAGCTGTAAAACCACGGGGCCTTACATATATATGTAACTGTAATGCATAGGGCCCTATATAGAACTGTAAAACCACGGGCCTTACATATAACTGTAACACACGGGGCCTTAAATATAACGTTAACATCACATGGCCTTACATATAATATCATTGTTTTTGAATCAATTACATGTATCGTGGTTTGAGTTTTGGGCGTCTTTTTAAAGTTATTGTTGGGGTAAGGATGGGGCGTTTCTTTTGTTCTTACTAATATTATCTGCAACATCAAGATTTCAGAACCAAGTTCATCATTATTGGATGTTATTTTGAATTACAATCGATCTATTTTATAAAGGTAAATGACATTATTTGATCTACCTGTCTCTAATTACACAGGTGAAGCGTATAACGTGATACACCTGGATTCAATGTTAACAAATATATTAAATACTCTATTTTAAAAGAATAAGTGATATTGTTTAAAACGACAAATTTAATAACTAGATATTTTAGCAATTCAAAAATTGAAAGAAGATGGTGGAAATGTTACACATCCCCAAATTTGCCCAACAATGTCGAACAATCACGTCCGCCACCATTTTCTTTATTTGTGATGATTGTTTCACGAAAATTACACGCCATAATTATAAAACACCAAAGCACACTTCCGGTCCCTCATAGATATTTAATATTCATCAGACACGCAGGAATTCAGCAGGAACATCTAACAGTCACGCATCCCGGCATTTCCTTTATACTTAACGACTGTTCTTTAACGAAAACAATAAAGCAAGAAGCTCTTTTTAACGACCCCAAAACACACTTCCGGTCCATTATAGATATTTAATATTCATCAGACACACAAGAATTCTGCGGGAACATCTTACAGTCACGCATCCCGGCATTTATTTAACGACTGTTCTTCAACGGAAACAGTAAACTAAGACGCCATATTAAACCCTCTAAAGACACTTCCGGTCCCTTATTGATATTTAATATTTATCAGACGGTAGGGGTTGTCTTACAATCACGTAGGATATGATATCTGATATACAACCAGTGTTTAATTAGGGAATTTCAGTCGCTTTTTTAAGGGTTTTGTGATATTGTTATATTATTCACCTTTTGTAAATTCAAAACGATATATTAAAGTACATTTAGTCTGATGTTCGATTCGTCTATACCGAAACCTTGTGTCAGCAAAATAAATAGAGACGGGCGCAAAAAAAAATCTATTATTTACCTTTTCTCTGGGCACCAAAACTATCCTGTGCCTGGACAATCTGATCATCATCGAGAACCAGACTTTCACCTAAAATATCTGTTCGTAAATTAATCTGCTCTACTGCCCACTCAAACGCTTGTTTCTGTCCTTCAAACTCTGGTTCAAACAACGCCCCTGAAAATATCAAATATATGAAACAATTAACACTGATACCGTTGACTATGAGGCTAGGTCTTTTAATAATGAATTCCCCGGTTGTACGTGACAAGAAGTTTGGTCGCCTGTCCAACCTCGTGGGTTTTCTCCGGGTCCTCCGGTGTCCTCCCATTTCTAAAGACCTTACGTGCAAGCGAATTATTGAAATAAAATTGAACCATATTTTAGTCCCGAAATGACCTAGTTTGTGTCGAGTGGACGTTAAACCCCATTTCTCTCTATCTCCCCGTTCTCGAACGTTCTCTCTCTCCCTCTCTCTTTTTTAGTACTGACAATTTTTGTCATTAAATCATATAAGTGGTCAGTATTCTAAACTAATGTTTAGTATGCATAGAAAGTGGCTAGGTGTGTACTTAGCTGTAAAAGATGTCAATAGTGATGTAAAAGCGTGACTATTTATAACACCCATCACTATTGAATACAGAAACCTGGACATTCAATAGTCACAGGTTTCAACACTTTTGTGACAAAACACCTACTTAATGACTACTGCCTGATTACTAACAGTTTAAACACTAACTTAAACATACATTATGGAAGATTAGATAAAGAGCTGACAGCTCTCACTATAATAGTGGAAAAATAGATAATGTAAAGGGAACATGCTGAAAATTTCAGTTAAATTTATCCACTATGAACCGAGATTATAGCGATTGAATTTTTGATCTTGCCTCGATCATCATTACTAAAGTCGGTAGGATAAAAAAAAACATAGTCTTGATTATCCATTTCATGATTAAATTATGAATGAAAGTCGAATAGCAAACCGAAACCTAACCCAATAAACATCGCAGGCTATCGAAGCCATCGAGAGTTGATTACGGTCTGGATATGTAAATGTCTAATTAATAATTAAGATAACATTTCAGTCCTAAAGAAAGACCTGCAATAGGCGGATTTAGCACTTGCATAATGTATGTTTAATAACTAATGCCTGATTACTAACAATTTTAACTAACGAATACACATTATGTATATAAACTGACGACTTTGATCTATTAGTGTCGTATATTTTCATTTATAATAGTTATTTGTTGCTTAGTAACGATATATTCCACATTACCGTGTAAATTGGGTTATTAAGCTTTTAAACTCGAGCTTCTACTATCCACAGAAATAAAATACTTTTTGTTTTGTAACATATCAAAACGGAGATATCTCAATCGAATAAAAAAGATATAATTCTGAAATAAACCATTAAGATTTTGACATACCAAAGATTACCTGTCCGGTGGTAGTCCTATGGGGAAATTGATGATCATTTGTCCATATAACGGAATTAATATATTTCAAAGAATGTGTTTGTCTAGGGCCAGAATCTCAATCTGTCATAAATAAAACCAATTAGAAACTGTCCCATCGAAGATTAGGTTTGGTATAATCTTATTTTGAATTGATAGCGGTATACGTCAGACGTACAGATTGGAACTATTTCAAATGATATAATTCGTCTAGAAGCGACGACAGTTTAATAAAATCATTCCAATGCCAGTCTATTTGTTAGAGTTATCATCTAGTGGTCAATGTTGTTCGTGGGTTCGATGGCCGAATGGTTAGCACGTGCGCGCTGTATCATAAGGCCTGTCATTGAGTCAGTGGGACAATAAACCCATCTCAATTTCCTTTAAGGCGTACGGGGGTTGGATGGCTGAATGGTTAGCACGTGATCGAATTCCACTGAATTTTTTAAAATCAGGCATTGATTGTCGTGTCTTTTAAAGTAGCGACATTTTAAGCAGAAATGAAACACTGAAATAAAATGGGGTTTGACGTCCTACTGTTCTGCACCGACTGGGCTAATGAAGACGGGTATACATCATGCTATGGGTGTTTCCCAGACAGCAGCAATACGGCCTGCTATCATATCGAATTCCAACTGTCCGAACGACTATATGTTATCGCTTGCCAGGTCCTGTACCACTGCCAAGGAGGAACCACGCCGGCAAACCCCTATTAACTTTCTCGGTAAACACAGGGATCGAACTTTGGACCTCCAGCGAGCCACTGTGGGTCCCATTTTAAGCAGTGACGTTCATTGAGTCCTTGGGTCCCGATGTTTTCTTGCTTTCTTGTTTTTCAGTTGGAATTAGATATAAGAATAGGCCGTACCGCCGCTGTCCAGGCAAAAGTATCCTCACAGCACACTGTATGACGTATGTCTGTCAGTGTCGCGGGACGGATGGACTGATAAGGACAGCTGTCCAGTCGTTCAGTTGGGACGAAAAGCCGAAGACCAGTGTATACATTGGCGTGTACGTAAAAGATCCCTTGGCAGTTGGAATTCGATATAATAGGCCATATTGCGCTACCCGGGCAAAATTTCCCTTATAGCACACTAGCCCAGTCGGAGCAGAACAGTAGGACGTTAGACCCCTTTTCATTTCATTCGTACGTCATACACTGATTTTTCAGATCTTTGGCTCATGTGGGTTTTTTTTTGGGGGGGGGGGGGGTTTGGGGGGGGGGGGGGTCATACAATAAACGTGATTGTCAACCGGGGATTATTGTGTGTAATTGACTTTTTTTTTGGGGGGGGGGGGGGGTCATACAATAAACGTGATTGTCAACCGGGGATTATTGTGTGTAATTGACTTTTTAATATCTATGACTTATGTGTGTTAATGCCTTTTTAATATCTATTCTTGTTGAAGATTTGTTGATCCCCTTGGAGAACGGTTACATACGTCAACATCAAAATGGACTTTTCGCAATACCATGGTAAAACCGCTTGTCTTTTTATCGAAGTCGGCTTTTTGCTTTTTTGCAGTAATTCAGATGTCAGGCATCATATAGAAAATACACAGGCAAGAAAGGGTTGCTATTTTACAACAGGATTAGGTCCTGCTTTTAGACATTTTAGATTGTATGTGCTGTTTTTGTTTTGTATATCAATCGGGTTACAGTTACATTGTTTTAATATTATAAGTGCAGGGGCGGATCCAGGAATATTTGCAGAGGGGGGGGGGGGGTTGAGAGGTTCCTGTTAGGGAAATTTGACAGTTGACAAAGCATGATGCCATCATCGTCTCCAATTACGTAGGCATACATACACACTGAGCTATTTAAAGAGAGAAATCCAACACCCCGTTTGACTTTAATTATTATTATGAATTAACAGGATCAGGGGAAACTCGCAATATATTGCATCCTTGTTTTACCCTTGGCAATGGAGCAGAAACGGAAAAAGCGCCCAGTACTTCGGATAGGACCAAAACCGAGATCCTGTGTAGTAGTTGACGGGCATATATAAAGAGGGAGAGAGAAATGGGGTTTTACGTCCACTCGACACAAACTAGGTCATTTCGGGACTAACATATGGTTTAATTTTATTTCAATAATTCGCTTGCGCGTAGGGGTCTTTAGCAGTGGGAGGAAACCGGAGGACCCGGAGAAAACCAACGAGGTTGGACAGGCGACCCTACTCCTTGTCACGTACAACCGGGGAATCGAAACCCCGCCAGTTGACTCAATGACAGACTTTATGATACAGCGCGTACACGCTAACCATTCAGCAGGCAACAGTGTGCTATAACTACTGCTATATATATAACCTTATCCTAAAGGGACAATCCCGATAATATTTTGGAGAATAAAACTGGTTAATTTTGTGTTAAAAGCCCTTAAAATCCTCTACCTTAGGGCCGAGCAACTAACTCGATATACGTGATACGTTTTCAAACAACTTAAACCCGTCAGTCTTAATCTGGAAGTGGGGACCTGTGCCCAAAGCTGTATATTGCGGTTTCTCGATAAAACCAGACTTTTATTTTTATAAAAATAATGTGTAGGTGAAATTTACCTTTCGTTATCAAGTACAGCACATGGGTCATTCACTGTATAAACCTCTAAAGGATCGGGAATCGATTATCAGGTCACCCAACGAAAGAACTGACCCAAAATCTTAAAAGGGTTACGTGTCCGGATAAGCAGTTTTGCCATTCACGTCCAAATGACTCAATATTTTGAGCTGAAATTTTGAGACAGGGTAAATACACCATTTCTTTATATTTTGGCGCTTAACTTTCATACGTACTCGGACTTTTAATTTTGAGACTCTTCAATTCGGGATAGTCCCTTTAATCTACCCTGGGTATTATAATGTTTAAATCACCATGCTTAGTGCTTATAATTATTTCTCTGTGAATTAAACATTTTGTCGGGTAACAGTATGTCATATCTACCCTGGGAATTACAATGTTTAAATCACCACGAATCCTAGTTATAATTATTCCTCTCTGAGTTAAGCATTTTGTAGGGTAACAGTGTGACATATATAACGACTATCTTAAAGGGACTATCCCGATTTGAAAAGCGTCTCAAAAATAAAAGTCTGAGTAAGTATAAAATTTAGCGGGATGGTGTATTTACCTTGTCCCAAAATTTCAGCTCAAAATATTGAGTCGTTTGGACGTGAACGTCAAAACTGCTTATCCGGACACGTAACCCTTTTAAGATTTCGGATCAATGTTTTCGTTGGGTGACCTGGTAATCGATTCCCGTTCCTTTAGAGGTCTATACAGTGAATGACCAATGTGCTGTACTTGATAAAGAAAGGTAAATTTCACCTACACATTATTTTTATAAAATAAAAGTCTGGTTTATCCAGACACCGCATAATACAGCTTGGGACACCGGTCTCCATTTCCAGATTAAGACTGACGCGTTTAAGTAGTTTGAAAACGTATCACATATATTGAGTTAGTTGCTCGGCCCTTAGGTATGGGATTTAATGGATTTTAACACAAAATTAAGAAGTTTTATTCTCCAAAATCTTATCGGCATTGTCCCTTTAATCGACACTGGGTGTTATAATGTTTAAATCACCATGCGTCGTCCTTATAATTATCTCTCTGTGGATTAAACATTTTACATCATATCGAACACCAACACCAGACTCCATTTAACAATCCCACAATTCATTCCAACAATCAATGACAATCACACGGGAAGTCGTAAATCAGCCTCCAAACCGCTAGTGTAAATCTCACGAGGAAAGGTTAGACACAATTACCCAGTCATCTATTGTCTCGACTCGTGTAATATTTGTGGTCTTCTAGCTTATTAAATGAAGCTAGATCTCGAGGGAGGTGGGGGGAAAATGGCTCTAATAAACTAGATATTTTGGCTATGATGTGTGGAAGCCTGACGCTAGATTGAAGGTGTAATTGAAAATGTCTGGAGTTGAGTAAATGTGTTTGGAGATTAGTAACGGGATGATATTGTTAGATCAGACAGATTTATAATGCTAGGGGTCGATTAATAATGCTAGGGGTCGACTAATAACCCCCGGAGAGAGACATCTCGTGCGAACACTGGCCTAGATGATGAAATCGTTTAGATAAAGTTACATGATATTGTGGACGCGGACGTAAATCTCTTTTATAAGTATCAGTAGTCGTAGTAGCTAAATATTGGTGCGAGTGGTCTTTGGGTTGGTCCGTGTAACAAAGCTAAATATTGGTCGGATTAATTGTCCCGAGTGGTCCTTTGGATTGGACCGAATGGTCTTGTTGGGTTGGTCCGAGTGGTCTGTATTTTGGTCCCACCGGTTTCCTTTTTGGTCCGACCAGTCTTTGTCCGAGTGGTCGCTAGTCCGAGTTGTCTCGATACCAAATTATGTAATTGTGTTTATAATACCAATAGGTTGTGTTATAAACCCATCTTCAAACATATTTTAAACTTGTACATTTTAAAGGCTCACTGCGTCATTTTTTTTATAAATAATAGGAAAAGCTTGCAAACTACAATATTTTAAAAGATGAATCTCTAATAGGAATATCGCCCCAAAAATGGTTCAATTCCGTTCATTATTTACAAAGACATGTTAACTATGTAATAAGGTCGACGCCATTTTGTTGTAAGCGAGGAGAAATGATAGGCCTGTTTTGTTTTGTTTAATAAAATCCTATTGAATCCAATCTGGGAGATTATCTAGCGTTAAGATTTCGATTATGTTTTGATAATTAAATGTTGGTACATATTAGCGTGGATTAGGCCGTAATAAATTGATAGTTCAAATTGAAATTAAATGGTGTTTAACGTCCTACGGTTCTGCTCCTATACTGGGTTAATGAAGACGGACATACGCCATACAGTGTGCTGTGAAGGAAATTTCGCCCGGACAGCGCTAATATGGCCTAATCTTATATCGAATTCCATCTGTCAAGGAATATTTTACGTGCACACCAATGTATACACGTGACCTCGGAGCTGTCCTTGACATGTCTGTCCTGCACCACTGACAAGGGGAAACCACGTCAGAGAATAGTTCCAATTAAAGGGTTCAAATTTATGGTGGATTTTCCAAGGAGAAACGGATATACAGCAAGAAATCTATAGATAATCGAAAGAATACCCAACATACAGACAATCGCATTAAAATACAGATCGATATTTCGTTTCGTTTTTTTTATACTTTCGATGGCCCACACTGCAAGAAGATCTTCCTGGCTGTAGTGGATGGTCGCGTCAGAGATCAAACGAGCGGTTTTTGACCCTATGACGTCAGATATTGATTAATCAACCAGGGTTGACGTTTTTAGTGGTTTACCTACAGTTCCGTGCATCGCACGCCAAGAACTCACTGCGTCAAACCGTTTCATTGGTTAATCCCTCCCATTAACCAGATGCTAGTGTTGTGAAGACAAGTAAAACGAAACGATACATAATCTGTGTTTTAATAAGATTGACCTACAGATAAAATATCAAGATCCAAGATGCTGCTGAGTTAATTTGTACGTAACGAGAAACGTTCAACGTTTGGATTTGTTTAGCAAGGAAATGTTTAAAAAGAAAAGTCACGGGTGGTCCTTAGTTGGGATTACTGTTGCGTGATTTTATCAGTTGAAGCGACTCGCATTATTAGCAATTATCTTTCAGATGGCGATATCAAGATGTTTTATTAATATTCCCAGATTGTTAGGAATTGTTATTGTACAGGATACAAGCAATTGTAGCCTAATAAAACTAACCCCGTACTAACGGTCCGTGACACAATAGTGTAAAGGGATATTGGGTCCTGCTGGTCTTACACCAATTAATGTAAATACTAATCGTTTAGGAAGGGAAGTTGTGTTGCCTGCACCAATAGGAATAATGAGAGAGAGAGGGAGAGAGAGGGAGAGAGAGAGAGAGAGAGATGGGTTTAGCGTCCACTAGTCACAAACTATGTCATTACGGGACTAACATATGGTTCAACTTTATTTATATAATTTACTTTAGCAAGAGCAGTAAACCGGAGGACCCGGAGAAAACCCACGAGGTTGGACAGGCTCCTTGTCACGGGGAATCTATCCAAGCCAATTGACTCAATGACAGACCTTATGATACAACGCACACGCGCTAACCATTCGGCCATCCAACACCCCCGGGCTAGTTAAGAGGTTCTTCCGCCTAGTCTTCGTCCAATTCCAAATGACAAGTCGGGTTTTATCTTTTAAAAAGAAATGAAATGGGGTTTGACGTCCTACTGTTTTGCTCCGACTGGGCTAATGAAGACGGGCATACCCCATACAGTGTGCTATGAGGGAAATTGCGCCAGGGCAGCGGTACTATGGCCTACTCTTATATCGAATTCCAACTGCCAATGGATCGTTTACGTGCACGCCAATGTGTACATGCGATCTCGATTTCTCGTCCCATCCGAACAACTAGACAGCTGTCATTGCCAGGTTGACAAGAGAAAATCACGCAGGAATATCCCGATGAACTTTCTCGGCCAATGCGCAGGGATCGAACACCCGACCTCCAGACTAGCGAGCCAAAGTCTTAGCCACTTATCCACCGTACTCACTTAACCCCCTCTTGAAAAGAAAGAAAACTCTAAAAAAAAAAATTATCCGGTAAAATTAAAATAACTTTACTTACCGACTCTTAATTTGTCCGGTAATCCATGAATGACATTTAAACACACGTAAAACACAATTCCACCTAAAAACACGCTAGTCCGGTACATTCCGACAGTTTACAAATAACTTCGGCTATTCCCGTTTATATTCGATGCTCCTCGTTCCTCAACTTCGATGTTCTCCGCCACTTACATTCCATTTATTCTGCCATCTGTAAAAGACAAAAAATAGAATGAAATGAAATTGGGTTTAACGTCCTATGCAAGGCTTTATCCTATTCGTATTGCTTTTCAATGGTACAAGAAAAATACTGATTTAAGAGGCTTTTGTTAAGATTAGATAAAGAGCTGGCAGTTCTCGCTGTAATAGTTCAAAATAATAGGTAATAAAAAGAGAATATGCTGAAAATTTCAGTCAAATTGCTTCACTCTGAACAGAAATATTAGCGATTTAATTTTAGGCTGTAAATTATCCGTCACAAAATGTATAAGTTTAATAGAAACTTTTACATATAAATGACGATCTTGCAGAGAGTAGAATCTGCAATCGACAAACAGGACATGAGTACTCTGTCTAAATATAATCAAATCGTTCCCATCACCCGGACTTTGTTTCAGACACTGTTAATTAAATGTTTTATATTCTGATCGCCATTTTACAGATTTTATATAATGTGACAGTAATAAAAAAAAAAGGTAATCATATTTAAATAAAATATTCATAAACTGATACATTAAGATCTCGGGAGACTAAAAGCTAGACTAGAAATGAGATTTGAGCGTGAGTTGTTGGAGTTTAACACTTGATTATTATTATTTCAGCCTGATTTGTTTCAGTTGTATCTTTCTTGGGATATTTGTGTCACGTTTCTAACCATTCTTCCTACACGACATTCCGGGGGTGGGTGTTGGATGGCCGAATGGTTAGTACGTACGCGTTGTATCATAAGGTCTGTCATTGAGTCAACTGCCGTGGTTTCGATTCCCTGGTTGTACGTGACAACGAGTAGAGAGTCGCCCGTTCAATCTCGTGGGTTTTCTCCGGGTGCTCCGGTTTCCTCCCACTGCTAAACACCCCTACGTGCAAGCGAATTATTGAAATAAAATAGAGTCGTGTGTTAGTCCCGAAATGACCTATTTTGTGTCGAGTGGATGTTAAACCCACACACTCTCTCTCTCCCCCTCTCTCTCTCTCTCTCTCTCTCTCCCTACACGACATTCAGGGGCGTACATATCGATTTTGTTTGGGGGACTAGTTTTACAAAAACGAGACCGACTGGTGCATAGGTTCCTAATACGAGGCTATCTGGCGATATGTTGTTCAGGGGTAAGTAAACATACCCTGACTAGCTAACCAGGATGGGCCCTGGGCTAAATCCCGATATTGTCCGAGAAAGATGCACACAATCTCAGTCGCTTTTCCTCTGGTCAGTGATGCTGGTCGGGCAAATAAATAAAATGAAATGGGGTTTAAAGTCATACTGCTTTGCTCCTATACTGGGCTAATGAAGACGGGCATACGCCATACAGTGTGCTATGAGGGAAATTTTGCCCGGGCGGCGGCACTACGGCCTACTCTTATATCGAATTTCAACTGCCAAGGGATCATTGACAATTGGAATTTGAAGAGCCCGTGGACGAAAAACCGAGGTCCCGTGCACGTAAAAGATCTCTTGGCAGTTTGAATTCGTTAGAAGAGTAGGCCGTAGTGCCGCTATCTGGGCAAAATTTCATTCATAGCACACTGTATGGTGTATGCCCGTCTTCATTATTAGCCCTGTCGCAGCAGAACAGTAGGACGTTCAATCCCATTTGATTTCATTTCATTTAATGAGCCCGGGTGGGGTGGGGTCTCATGGTTAAATGCGTGAGCGTGGAATAACAAGGTCTGTCATTGAGTCAAGCGGCGTGGTTTCGATTCCCCTCTTGTGAACATGACAAGGTGTAGATTCGCCCGTGAAACCTCGTGGGTTTTCTACAGGTCCCCCGGTTTCCTCCCACTGCTAAAGACTCCTACATGTTAGTCCCGAAATGACCTAGTTTGTGTCGAGTGGACTTTAAACCCCCACCTCTTTAGGACGTTAAACCCTATCCATTCCATGTCGTGGGAAAGAAACATCCAGGGGTGTGGGGAAATTCATGTACATATATACTGCATTCCCACGGCGTCAAGCATAGATGTCAAGTCAACTATTTAAATTGTTGTTTATAAGTGAGTCTATTATGGTAACTATGTTTGCAGAAAAAAACTCTTAATTCACAGCAGCTACATGCGAAGTTCAAAACAGAGGGGTTAAATGAGTTGATTCTAGGACTTTATCGGTGCATTTCAAAGGGCGGATCAAAGGAATTTTTGCAGGAGGGAGTTTGCCAGGCTTCTGTTAAGGAAATTTGACAGTTGACAATGCATGGTGCCACCATCGTCTCTAAATTACGTAGGCATACATACACATTGAGATTTTAAAGAGAGAAATCAAACACCCCGTTTGATGTCAGTTTTTATAATGAATTAATACGTTCAATTTATGATTCAATTTCATTGATACAAAGCATTAATTGTGATATCACACAGTCTATATCATTATTTCACGCTTTGAATGTCAATCCCATCCCACCATCTGATGATAAAGGATAAAGCACACGACCGTTACACTCTTCTCATAAAGTGTTGTTTGATTATGCAGCTAAGCAGGATGGGGGTTGTACACCCCCCCACCCCCACCCCCACTGGATCCACCCCGGTTTTGTTTTTTTTAATGTAGATAGGTTTCCATCTTGCTCATATTCAGGTTACTTGAGATCGACAATCTAATATTTTCACACGAATCAAACCGTTTTTTACTCCCATATTCAGAGGTTTTTTTCATCCTAGAAGTGCAAAACTTGTAAACAAAACGCATAATAACAGGAAGTGCGACGGCCATTATTCTCAATACATATTTTATCAAAATGTCAACACAACAGTATTGAATTATTGACACAGTTCGACAGATGTTAAACAATGCAATGAACAACGTTAGCAACGACACAAATCAACATGATTAAATTACAGACTTTAAATAAAGAACCCAATCAACTTGAACAAGTCAACCATATTAAATTACTCGCTTGAAACAGTCGGCCATTGACAGAGGTCTCAAATAATAATTCCGTTCACATTGAAAACATATGTAAATTGGTTTTTGTCTTTGTTTTTGTAAAATATAACGTAGGCGCCATATTGGTACGAAACTATTCAAAACTATTTTATTTTTTTTAACTTGAAACAGTTGGATATTATGTAAACAGCATATTGACACGCCATTTTCGAAAGGCAGGGGTTTAAGTGTGGAATGTGAGGTAGGAGAATTTTGCTCGGAGAGCGATGTTTCAGCAGCCGGCTATATTTTTGTTTTCATTTTCGTGCAAGTCAGTGTGTAAAATCAGTGTTTTTTATCGTTCTATTTTATTTCAATAATTCACTAGCGCGTGGGAGGGTCTTTAGCAGTGAGAGGAAATCGGAGGACCCGAAGAAAACCCACGAGGATGGACAGGCGACACCACTCCTTGTCAAGTACAACTGGGGAATTGAAACCCCGCCAGTTGACTCAATGACAGGCCTTATGATGCAACGCCCACGCTGTAACCATTCATCCCCACTCACCCCAGTTAGTCTCATATTGACATAGTTTGTGTGAGTAGACGTTACCCCCCCCCCTCTCTCTCTCTCTCCACTATTTGTTTGTCGATGTCTACTTCCCTGCTTTCTAAGTACATGTACAATAGTGCCGATGGACAGGGTATTTACAGGAAGTCTATGTAACCATCGTTACAATATTACATATTGTCATTCACTTGAGCCACGGGTCGATAAACGTTTATATTCAAATTAATTACCATTAACATTCTAAATATTTGTTCATGTAACGCCTACGAATCGTCCGGCTTTCGTTTAAACAAAATTATTTGTCTCTTTAAATTAAACACGTATCACCTGGATGTAAAATTAACTTATACCAAAAAAAGGGATTGGATGGCCGAATGGTTAGCGTGTGTGCGCTGTATCATAAGGTCTGTCACTGAGTCAACTGGCATGGTTTCGATTCCCCGGTTGTACGTGACAAGGAGCGGGGTCACCTGTCCAACCTCGTGGGTTTTCTCCGTGTCCTCCGGTTTTTTCCCACTGGTAAAGACCCCTACGCGCAAGCGAATTGTTGAAATAAAATTGAACCATATGTTAGTCCCGAAATGACCTAGTGTGTGTCGAGTGGACGTTACTCTCTCTCTCTCTCCCTCTCAGTCAGGTTAATGAAGACAAACATACAGTATGCCCCTCAAAAAACGTTTCGAACTACTTTTCTCGGAATTCCAATTTTTCTCCCTCTTATACCAAAATATCTGTTCATGTAAATTCTACGAATCGTCCGATTTTCATATAACCAAATTATTTTTCTGTTTAAATTAAATAAGTCTCACCTGAGAAGAACATGTTAACAGTACACAAGTTACATAAATTCCACATGAGTTTGTTAATACGATTAATTTATCGCCCGCTTCAATCGAGTGTGATATCGCAAACAAGTTATTCAGTCGATAATAAATAGTAACAACAGCTATATGACACGGACTACAGCTAACTGGTCAATTGAAACAAGGTGCCCGTTATATGATTGGTTAACAGTGTATCACGTGAGCTATTGATGGGTATCAATAACTATGTAATATTAGATTATAAACTAGTCTATTGTTAAAACAGTTTTAAACATGTCTGTGTGATATAATTATAAACCAATTGATCGAGTTAATCAAGGGGATCTAAAGAGATTATATGATTAGAACAAGATTTAGATTGTTTTTAAATTAAAATACGATTTAGACGCCATTATCTTACAGTGGTTAAACATGCATTATTCAAGAGGTAAATCTGTCTATTTCAGGTCTTTTTTTTATTGCCTGAAATGTTATATAAACTATTAATTAGACATTTATTGACAAGAAAAGAACTTAATCAACCCTCAGTGCCATCTTATGTGTCGGGTTTTCTCTGGATTTGAACCCGATTTGCTGCTCAACGCTCATTGATGATTTAATCCAAAAATGAATAATCGAGACTATGTTTTTTATTGTACTGACTTAAGTAATAATGATCGAGGCTAGGGCTAAAATTCAAAGACTAATATCTCGGTGGAGGAATTTGCCTATTATAGTGAGAACTGCCAACTCTTTATCTAAA